AGCACTGTGGAGCCTAGGGTTGAAAAGGGGACTGGGAATTCAAAATCAGTAGAGCATAGATGGCTGATAATTATAATCAAGGGATGGATTGAAGACCTGTAGACGTGATCTGGAGGAAAAAGAGAATAAACAAAAGCATCTCTGGTACATGTGGTCAGTCAGATACGAGGCAAGGGAAAGATGAGACAGAAGGTGGCAGAGGCAGGATTTGATCTTGCTAAAGAAAGGAATTCTAATAACCCCCAGGTAGAGAGAATAAGTCCTTCAGTAAGATAGACACTCATTGCATAGAAAGATGAGGCATGGAAGGAAAGCCTAACAAAAGTCCAGGGAGGAAGGACGAGAATCTGGATGGTTATGGTAGAGTCGAATGACAGCCAAGTGAAGTCCAGGTAAAATAGTTTTGCATGTGGTGAAAATATGTTTGTATGGTTAAGGTTCAAGGATCAAGTACTTTTGGAGTATTGGAAACTAACTCTATTTCTGTCCTTCTTTATGCAATAAATATCTCATATTTATATCATCTACCTGCACGGAATCATTTTCATTGTTATCCATACATCAGCCAAACATCATATGAATGTTTCACAGCTTATTTAATCAGTTCCCTGGCACTGGATATTTTGAGTGTAACTAAAAATTTCTACTGCAAATACCAACTGTTGTGGGCACAAATGTGCACTCCTCTGTGTGTGTGTGTGGTGTGGGGTGGGGTGGGGTGGGGTGTGTGTGTGTGTGTGTGTGTGTGTGTGTGTGTGTGTGTGTGTGTGTATGTGTGTGTTTCAATCATAAAAGTGTAGTCCAGGTGGGTAATAGCATGAATGTATTGATTTTGCTAGTCTCATATATTATGCTAACTTCCATTTTCTATGTCATTGAGTGCTCATTTTATATACATATATATGTATGTGTGTATATATATATGACACTATATGTATATATATATAGTGTCATGATTATGAACATTTTTAGAGTGAGGAAGCTAAGGCATAGAAAAGTTAAATAACTCAAGCCCATGTCTATTTGGGAACCAGAGTTGAATCTGGATCCAGGATACTGCCACGAGGTTAAGATGGTACCCAGAAAACAATAAGGGCAATCTGAAACACAGTGGTACTAAAATGGGAGAATTAAGCTATTTATAGCTAGAGTGAAGTAGGAAACTGATGAAATTGTAGGGGTGAGGTCACTTCAAAATGCCAGTGTGAGGTTCAGGAAATGCCTGTGACTTCATCACGTGCCAAACCTCTGTGCTACCTGTGTCCGTAGCCGTTTCATTTAAATATAGACCAAGTACCTCATGGGGTTTAGAGATGAAGAAAGTCTTCTTTATTTTGTTTTGGGTGTGTCCATGCTGTCAAGGAAATAAATGCTTTGACTATATCAATATTTTATTAATATTTAATATTATATTAATATAATTATTAACATTAATTATTTATAACTATATTCTTATAGAATATAATATTAAATAATATTAATATGTTAATATAATTCACTGTATGTTCTTTCAGGAAAAATACTTTATGAACTTCTTAAAATTTGATCAGATCTGTAAAATTTGTAAAGGGAAAAATTCTAAACTGTGTGATGATTTTGTTCTGTGAAATTCTCTCTGTCTCTCTGTCTCTGTCTCTGTCTCTGTCTCTCTCTCTCAGCATGTCTGATGGTTCAGTACTGGCACATGCAGTGTGTACCACATGTGGTGTGTACCTCAAGGGCCACTGTGCACAGAGCCTTACCACTGACTGCCACCACTAGAATAGACCCAGGGAACCTGCAGTTTTCAAGTGTCTTTAGGACTGAAGCATCATCCATGGGACAGTTGCAGGCTCATGGGATGTCAGCCCTGCAAGTGTGAGGCTGTGAAGGGGCCCAAGTCAAGACGTGTAGTTTCTTTGACTTTTATGAGATAGATGAGAAAGCACGTGTTGGAAGCTGAAGAGTGCACATTTTATGGCAGATCAAGTAAGAGTCCCAGCACTTTGGGAGGTCATTACAGGGACCTTTACCAAACACATGCATGTGACTATGAATTCGGCTCCTGCTTTTCAAGTTCTCTTTGAGCGTATTGTTCTTAATTATGCTTTCCTTCCCAAAAGGAAGTACAAGCGGGCTCTCTTGAGGCAGCTCATCAGGTAAAGGGTGCCTGCTGCTCGTGCCTGGCAATGTGAGTTCAATCCCCAGAACCCATGTAGAGGTGGAAGGAGAAAAAGGCCTTTACAGAGTATCCTCTGACCTCCACACATGTGCTATTGCATGCGCACACGCACACACAGACACAGACACACACACACACACACACACACACACACACACACACACACACACACACACTAAAAATGAGTAAGAATTTTTTAAAGTACAAATGCTGTTTCTTTTTACTCTTCCAATGTAGGGACCAGGCTGAATATTTACACTTCACTTCATCAAAATTAACACAACACAAGATACCAAATATCATATTTGCAAGTCATAAAATTAACCACTGGAATAGCTTTCCCCCAGGTGCCAGAATTATGAATGGAATGCTTTAATTATCTGTATATTCTGAGCAGAGGGTTTGCTTTTTTTTTTACTCTGTAAATAATGTTTATGCCATTGTTGTTGTGATATTGCTTTTTCATGTTCCATATTAATATTGCTATCCTCACCTATAAATATTAAGATGATAAAATCAAACCTAGCACCTGGAAAAGCAGGGTACTCTTGCTTCAAGCAAAGAACCTGTGCTTTTGGCAGAGGATGTCGTGGAACAGGTCTAGAATAAACTAATTCAGGATTTATATTCCAGTTGTTTTCCATCCTTTGAAGTTTAGATAATAGATTGCACCAAAATCATGATTAATCGGTCCATCTTAAAGAATTGTTAGGCAGATGAGAACATATGGTTTTCTACCAGAAAAGTTTTTTTTAAAGTGACAGATGTCATAAGGAAAAGTGTGTGTGTGTGTGTGTGTGTCTTTGTTATAATCTAAGTACTTTCAGTTACAGTACTATTTTACTCTCAGAGATCAGCTAATCACAGAGGAAAAACTAAGGATTCTGGTGGAAAAAATACCGTGGAAACATAGACAGACACTTATAGCAATGTTGAGGATGGGCAGAGGATGATCACGCTGCTGTGGTTGAACACTCTTTTAGTCTCATTCATTTCAGCAAAGAAGATTAAAAGGTCTACTAATACAAGTCAAAAATCTGAGCAGGAGGCTGGTAAATGACTGAGTCACTAAACGTTGCAGCACAAACACGTGGACCTGAGTGTCATCCCCAGAACTGTGAACAACTGGGTATGGTGACACACAACTGTAATCCTAGTGCTTGGGAAGGCAGGCAGGAGAATTTCTGCGATTTGGCTGGCTAACCAGCCTAGCATAATGGCCAGCTCCAGGTTCAAGGAGAGACCTTGCCTCAAACCACAAGGAAGTGATTGATTGAAGAAGGTACCCAGTGTGGGCCACTGGCCTCCCCAAACCAGGGCATACCCATACACATCAACCAAAAACAAAAAGCATCTGATCAAATATCTAAGCAGAAGAAAGTGATTAAACCTGCAGTATACCAAAAGCTAAAACAAATAGACAAATTATGATTGTATTCAGATGCTGGATAGCTTAGTCAGCATTCCAGCTTCCTCTGGGAGTCACGTTTTCAAAGGGACTTGTTGAGAGTGACATTAGGTATACTGCTTTATTGATGAAGCAGAATGTCATCTTTGTTTTACTGGAACCTCTAAGTATCAAACAAAGATCTGTGGGAAACTACGTCCTCAGTCCTGATTGTTCCTAGTGAGGTAGTATCTTGCTGGACATAAATGCTAAAATAAAATGATTTCTAATAATAGAGGCATTCTGGATTAATCCCTTTAGTTTCGATAGGGTAAGTTGAGAGAGGTGAATGACCCCACAGTCTTGGTATGATCTGGAATGGTAAGAAAATGTAAAACTAAATATAGAAAAAGAGAAAGTTAGTGAATATATTTGCATATGCAAATTAGCTTAATTGATACTGCTTGCCTCTACAGGGATTTTTCATTACAAACTGGAGTGCTACATTGTTCAGCTCATATTGAGTAATTTAGTAACTAATGAGACCAGTTTGCACTAATTTGCATATGATAAATGAGCTTAATTGCAGTAAATAACTTGGAGGCATAATTACTTAATTTTCCTGTGTTGCACGGCTTTTAAGTTCACGTATGAACAACTCAAGATAATTTTGCATATTTAAATTAGTTGCTTTTAAATTTTCTTGAACAAAAAAAAAAGAACACACCTTATCAATTGAGCTGTAAAACAATCGAAAGTAAGGGTTGCAGTACTTTTATTTTAAAAGAAGATGAAGAAAGAGCAGAATTCCTACCACCATTTACCTCTCTCACATCTTTACCTCAAGTAAGATATCAGTTTGGCATTTAGAAAATGTTTTTAGTAGTCTAAGTTAATTTGAAACTTCTCTTAGTGACTGGCCTGGATTACTGGATTTGGGTGAGTTAAAAAAAATTTGAAATAAGGCTTATGAAAGAGGGGTGGCCTGTTTGTGACCTAATTTGGCAAATTCAGAATAAGGTGATGGATTGGCTCTCCTACCTGCAGGGTGCAGCTCACCTTTGTGGCTTCTCTCTATTCAACGACAATGTCGGTATGGCTTACCGAGCCATATCTGGAAAACAAGTATTATATTTTATCAACATCTCTATTCTCAAAATTGAAAAACTGAAGCACTTAAGAGTTGATATCAAACCATTGTTTCATTATTAATGCATTGCCTTCAATGTTGTTTTAGGCTTAGAAGAATAATTTATTATTCAAAACCAACAGGCCAAATGAAAGTGCTAGCCATGATTTTGAGAGAACATATAGTTACAAAAGCTGAAAACCTGTCACTTTAGAGAAGTTAAAAACCTGTCATTTTAACATTCCTGCTTTAATTCATTATTTATTAAAGCAAAAGATGACATTAAAGCTGTTCGGGTTTTTTTTTTTTTTTTTTTTTTTTTTTATAATGTGGGAAAAGTTAACTCATGAAGCTTTGCTCTAAAAGCTCCCATACCACAGAGTCATAGAAAGCACAGACTAAATCAGAGTAAGGGGCTGGAGTAAGTACTAATGTAGTGTACTTGGACTGCAAAGTCTGAGTCCTTTCTATATGGTGCTCAGAAAGCAAATGGTTAATAGGAGAATGAATGCACAAATTTTACCCAACAGCCAGCACCCAAGCCTGTCTCACATCCCCAGCTCAGTTATCATCAGCATCTTCTGGGCACAGGAGAGGGTAGACAGACTCATTTAATGTGGATTTCTGCATCCAGCCAACTTGAATTCATATCCCAGCTGGCTCCTTTTGAACTGTGTAGATCTGAAGTGCTCTCTAGCCCTCAATGTGCCTCCAATTCTGAAAATGGAGGAAGCAGTAGTAGGCATCGTCTCATACCTGGGTTGTAAAGTTTGATAAACATCTGTTGGTAGTTTTATCTCTGTGTTGGATAATCTAGGATAATGTCTATGTTTTAAGAAATATGGTAATGCCTATCAAGAATATTTTCAATATAGAAATATGAGAACATTATCAATAAAATCCTCTTTGGTGAAAGAATAATTTTTCATTGAATACAACAAAATTGGTTACATTATTAGTATTGGCATTAGGTAGTATGTGCTGCTTCAGAGAAAAACATGGAAAATTTTACCTCAGATGACAGTCTTTATCTTGATAACCAAGCAAACTGTCAGAACAGTCTATTTAAAGGCTCCTGGTAGAAACAGAGCTTGTAAAGAGATTCCAGAATCAAATTGTTCTTTAGAATAAATGTGACTGGCTGCTATTCCTAGATCCTATTCTTTCAATTGCTTAGAAAACTGAGAAGAACCCACCAATCAGAATTCCAGGAGAACTAGAAGGTAGATCCAGTCACCACCCCTTGATGTAAGTCATGTTAGCATGACATTAAGTCTTCATGTGATGTGCCCTATGCCTGCTGCACAGCATTCATCCTCCGGCATGTCAGAAAGTATCCATCCATGCTCTCATCCGATGGAGAATCCTTCAGAGGAATCTTGGGGTAGATATACATATCATCTGGGCTTTATGGACCTTGCTGACTTTGATTTGCAGAATAAACATTTGCCATAATTTATGGAGAAATACTGTGAGAAGTGTGGGTAGATGATAGGGTTGGAGTTAACTTACTGTGGAGGGAAGTTAGAGTTATTTGTCCAGTTGACTGAAATTAGAAAATGGGTCTTTGTAGTCACAAATCTAATTGTGTCAGGTGTCCTGGAAATGAGACAACAAATAAGAAATCAGAAAGCTTAGTCCAGCACATATTTTCTGAACACCTAATAAGTATCTGGTAGAAGAAAATACGGTAATACAAAAATGAGTCATAGTTTTGCTTCTTAGTGACCCACTTTGAGTGTAGACACACAGTAGGAAAATGGACTAACACAGTTCCTTTTGGGGGGTGCACCTGGATTGCATTTCTACTCTTCATTCTATGAACTTGACAAGCAACATCAACTCCTCACACGTCAGTTTCTTGAATCCCAAATGGAGATAACAATACTTCTTACTTTGCAGAAGGCTACAAGAGCTACACAGAATAGATATACAGGGTGCCTGCCTTAGATGAGATGAACACACAGGATCTGATCACCAGCAACCCCTTGCCACGGCCACAGATTCCCACAGTCCATGCCCTTCACATACACCTTTTAAAGTTTGGTGTTCATGTGAGTCCTCCGGGAGGGGCTGAGAGTCGCAGCTTCACTTTGACGCATGTGTTCTCTTAGCACAGTCACACACGGTAGAGATTAGGAAGTGGGGACAACATTGACACTGAGATGGGCATGTCTTGATGGGGTGCTCTGGGGAGCCTGCTGTCTGTGAGGCATGAGAATAGCATTCACTCTGATTGAGGCGCTAAGAGTGAGTGAATTATTTGGAGAATAAAGTGAGATAGAAAGACAAATATATGATCAGTTTAAAAATGAGCAGATGTCTTAGAAAAGCATGATATTGGGCTATAATATAAATATGAATAGTTTTGTCACTTTTGGGGGGGGGTTCGAGACAGGGCTTCTCCATGTAGTTTTGGTGCCTGTCCTGGATCTCGCTCTGTAGACCAGGCTGGCCTCAAACTCACAGAGACCCACCTGCCTCTGCCTCCTGAGTGCTGGGATTAAAGGCATGCACCACCACTGCCACCTGGCTATTTGTCACTTTTTATACATCTGTGGCGATGCATGTAAGTTCTGCCAGTCTATGCCACAGGACAGTGTTTTGCTTGGATTGGCTTAGACATGATATCTGGTCTCTTGAACATTTATTTATTTATTTGTTTATCCTAACTATCATCTATTTATTTGTTGTGTGTGTGTGCATGTATGTATACAAGCATGTCATAGCACACATGTGAAGGTCAAAGTCAGCTGTCACAGGTGCATAGATCTCAAGCTCTTAGACCTTGTGGCAAGTGCTTTTACCCACCAAACCTTCTCACCAGCCTCACATTCTTTTATAAAAAAATATTTTATTCATTCTTTATAAATTTCCTAAAGTTACATAATGCATTCTGATTATCTGTATTAGCTGGGAATGTTCTGAAGCAGGGTGACTCAGCTTATTTCCATGAACCAGGAACTCAAAACCCAGTCACAGGAGCCAGACTGTTTTCCCATCACAATTTACCAAACTTCAAATACATTTTGGACTCATTTAAGTTTGAGAAAGGATTGGAGTTGGGGCAGGGTAACAGTTGTGGGCATTGTGCCTCAAGCTAAGCTGATAGGCAGACACCTGCGAATGCTTTTATTTAGCAAAAGACACTCAGAAAAAGTGGCCTAGAAGAATCCCATCAGAATTATTTTTTAAGATATTAAAATCCGTAAATACAATAAGAGCTAAATGGAACATATAATTGAACAATTACACTATAATTTCACATCTGTAGTTTACATTAATAGCATTTTAAAGATGGAAAGATTACTATAGAAGAGTCTTTCAAGAGAAAGCGAGTGTGTGTGTGTATGTATGTGTGTGTGCGTGTGTGTGTGTGTGTGTGTGTGTGTGTGTGTGTGTGTGTGTGTTCAAATACCTTTCTAACTGTATAAAGTGGGAAGAGGGGAATACCAAAATCTTTCAAGATACAGGTAAGAAAAGAGAAGGAAAGTTAAATCAAGTATTTGACTTCCTGTAAATACCAAAATGCAATTGTGATCCTTGCCTCTTTTAAGTCGTTGTGGGAGCCATTCTGATTTCAAGGCCTGGGCTTCCACTGACACGCTTACAGATGGTCTCCTAATTCTGACCTGGGTTAGACTATGCCATCAGCAAGCACAGAAAACCAGACCCTTTAGGCACAGGCAAGGAGAACAGCACAGTGGGGGTGATGCTGTGGAGCCCTGTCACACCCCGAGCAGTTGGTGTGAACCTGTGGGCTGGCCCAGGAGCTAGGCTCACCCAGCCTCCAGCTCTTTATATTATTGTCTGTCAGCTTCTTGTGAATATCACCTTCCAGGCACTTGCTAGTTTAGGATCTGTTGATATATGCTTGCCAGTTAAGGGATCCAAGGGATGATACTATTCTGCAGCAATGCAATAAAACCCTGTCTAAGAAATGTCAGTCACACCATTCCATCTACCTGTGTTGGGAAAATGTATTTGGGACTGTAGGGAAGTTACAAGCAGTTGTTTTAGGTGGTTGAACTGTGTAAAGAGTGGTCAGATCCCCACCCAGTAGAAGCCTGTGTGAGTCCCAGGAGGTCGACCAGCTGCAGCAGGGTTTGTCAGGTCACAAGAGCTTCTTCCCTCACTGCTGAACGTAGGAAAATGCAAGGGATCCTTTAGGCCCTCGGGAAAATGCCTTTGAAATAACCGGCTCTCATGCTTCGCTCCGGAGTGCTGCAGCGGCATGATGGTGTGGTAGAATCCGTCTGGGGTAGAGATTAGAGCAAGGCTAGACTTGACCTAAAGAAACGGAAGATTCTTTCTTTAAGAATTTTTCTAAGCGGGAAGTCTGTGAGTTCTACATAGATACAAAAGCAAATGATAATATCAATGACTACTTTAATTGCATCTTTAATCCATAAGGATAGTTCAATGACATTTTAAATTATACTTTTAGAATTGTAGTCACATAGGAGATAACACTTGGTAACTATTTAATAATGCATAGTGAGATCAGCTGTGTCCTCTCCTGAGATCCCATTTAGGTGGACTGAATATAGAAGGGCAGCCCATGATTTTGACAGCGTTTAATCTTCACAAGTCATTGTTGGGGCTCCCTAAATATTAAGCCCCCACTCGGGCCCTTTAATCAGTGTCTATTATCGCTACAGAATGGCTTAGTTCCACTGGAGTCCCAGCTAGACTGTCTGATTTTTTTTTTAAACTGAGAATTGGGTTGTCTTAGATCAAACTATTGTAATACTGGCAGCTGACTAACCAGCTAACTACCATTGGTAATTCATCACTATTCATCTAGCTGGGCCTTATCCTGAGACTAAGTATAGTTATGTTATTGGGGTGGGGGATATGGTACAGTGATATTAAGGTCCTACAGCTATTGGTACCTGGCACAGTTGGGATTTGAACCTTAATGGAGAAGTGGAGAGTGACAGAGAATGGAAGTATGGGGGAAATCTCTGGCATTAAATTATTTTGCAGTAGAAGCTTTTCAAGCAACATACTGTAAGCTGTGGGTCGAATGGAAGCTGGAGGTATCCACTTTTGTTTAATAAAGAAATATTTGCCCTGAGCAGACAACAACATTTCAAAGCTTGTCATTTCGTTCCTAGGAAAGTATTTGAGGAAAATGACACGGCTCAGCCCTGTTTGCTGCCCATTTTGTCGTCTCCTGCTGAGACTTGCCATTTCCATAGCCAGTGGGCTGCACTGAATCAGACAGAAGCAATAGATCATTAACAGGAATGGATACTTGGGGCAGCCTGCAGAGAGAAGGCACAGGAAAGTCATCTGGGGCCACATCAACCAAACCGCATCTAATAGAATCTCATGCCACTAGGTTTGGGGGTGAGCCTGATTTTCAGAGAAGCTTAGGGAGTTTTCAGAACCACAAAATAATGCCTCCCCCACCAAATACACAAAATTCATGACTAACATGAAAATGGAAGTGAGACTTACATTCATTTCTGTATGCTTTTTCTCGTAGTGAAAACAACTGCTTAAAGCCCATTTAGTTTTTAAAATGCGTGTTTTATCTTCCTCCTTACACCTCCATTAGCCTGAGGTCTCTTATACACATAGCACTAATCCAGACCAGAATATTATTATTATTTATCAAATCTGAATTTCTAGATTGTTTCCATGACTTGGAGCCTTGGATTCTTCCAGATTATTGTAATGGGGAGGTAGTGTTGAAAGGACAGGTTCTGTTACGGAGAGCCTATTGTTTTACTCTCTCTCTCTCTCTCTCTCTCTCTCTCTCTCTCTCTCTCCTCTCACTCCCTCTCTCTCCCTTCTCTCCTCCTCTCCTCTCTCTCTCCTCTCTCTCTCTCCCCTCTCTCCTCCTCTCCTCTCTCTCTCTCTCCCTCTCTCTCTCTCTCTCTCTCCCCCCTCCCTCCCTCCCTTTAAATGTAGACCAATTTAATCAGAGCAGGACAAGTACACATTCTTTTTAGGAATATTACATGAGCACCCACAGACTGCTTACTAGATGAGGCTGAACAGATGAAGAATTACGCAATATTCATACACTGTTCTTCCTCCAGTTTATAATAAATTGATAAGTCCTAAACTGAAGTTGAAGTGCAGAGGTGGAGACAAGACCTAAAATTCCAAGGACTGAATTTTAACTGTGTAAAATTAGGTAAACAGACGACTATTCTACCACTCCTATGCCAAAAGACACCTCTGTTCAGCCATACGTGGCTATATCCGTGTGTATTGCAGAGGGAAGAATCCAAACAGCTTCATATATGTCTTAGACATCTTGCTACATCATAAGCATTTTGAAGACAGGAATCATTTCTTGATCATATTTGTGTCTTATTATACCGTGCTCTTAGTAGGTATTCGTATTTGTAGGACGTATTTGAATTTGTGTACACACTGTGTGGAACTTCAGATGGATCAATGGTTTTGTCTTGAGTACTGGTGTTAAGACATCAGAAATACTGAGTGGTTTCAGAGTGTATCCTGATCAGGTAAGGGAGATACTTGTCTGCTGGGCCCTGGTAGGGTTAGTGTATTATGCCCCTGAGTCTCCATGCGCCAATGTGAGGTGTCCTTCTCAGTCTGGAGGTCATTTTTGAAAAGTCAGTCCCATCACGATGTCATTTTCCCTTTAATTTTCTGATTACTTACATTTGGTCTGGTCCTAATTATGAATACCTTTAATTGCTTTATCACAGTTAGTGATTAACTGTGCCCAAGTCAAAGCTCTTTGAAAGACAGAACAGCTCCTTCAGAGGGCTTCACAGGAGCATACAGAGGGAAAGTATTAAACAGAGAACTAGAGGTTTTGCAGCTTACAGAAGAATGTCAGCACAGTTCACATCTAGTAGACGGTTTCAGCGTTCAGAGAGAGACACAGGACTCCACAGAACCAGAGCGAGCACCCCCACTGCTCATCTCTTGCACATTATGATTTACTGCATTATTTACATTAATCATTCTGCCAAAAGAGACTATTTGAAATAAGTACCTTCCAGCTATTCCCTAATGTGTAAAAATTTTAAAATACACTTTAAGATCAACACGATGTTCCTGAAGGGGAGCATGGGTGGGTTTGCCTCCCTTGTTTTTCACTTATACGTGTAAAATAGCAGGGATTGAAATTGTTGTGTTTCCTAAATGGCAAAGTTTCAAATGCTAGCTCTACATGATTTCTTACTAAATATCTTGGCAGTCCAGTCCTTGTGCACAGAATTTGAGAAGCAAGACCTATTGGGGACGTTGGTTATGCTCCATTTTAAAATGTTTGTAAGGCATAAAACAAGTATGGGCCAGAGAATTTTGTATTTTAATTCCCTGGCTACAGACTGGATAGGTTGTGAGATGTTGTATTTGTGATCATATTATTTTCGTTTAAAGTAAGCACACAGTGTTATTTTAGTGTCTCTTTGTGGTGGCTTTTGAAGTGATGTCATTGTGCTGTCCTTAATTTAAATCTCGTCTCCATTTTGTGTTCTCAGAAATACCAGTTTTTTGTATCACAGTGACATTTTTCACCCAGGAATCTAATTGATAGAGTTCGTATCAATCAAACAAAACTCATTTCCTCACTCTTTCCTCCCCTCAAGGCATGAGGCCCACACTGGGCCTCTGAGTGGAGAGATTTCTGTCTGTTGGTGAGGAGTCAGCACGATCTGGGGAGAGGAGGGTCCTTGCGTTGGGAAAGCTGGTACAGGCAGGCGGGAGGACACGTCATTGTTAATTTATTATCAAGTTAGCTCTCCTCCCTGGAGGAAGGCTTTGGCATTTTTAATCTTTGATGATTCACACTTGCCAAGCATCTTTTTTTTTTTTCTCATTTTGTTTCTCCCAATTGGAAGGAAAAATTCATCCAGGGACTCGCTTGCAAAGGAGCAAGTGAGGAGAGCAGAAATATGGAGGATGACCTTCCCTTGCCTTTTGGGCGATAAGTGCTTGTGACAGACGCTATTTCAAGACTATAGTGAAAATGCCCAGAACCAGAGAAACTCATATCTAAATCATCTGCTCTGATGTATCTTCTTTTCAGACTAATTTCCCAGTTGGAGACCTGAAACATTTAAAAGCTCAGTTTCCCATAGCGCTTTCAGACACACTACCCTGTTAGTGTTCGGTGGATTTCAAAGCATGTCCCAGTAATTGAGAGTAGAAGGAATGAGCTCTGTCTTGATGGACTTTAGTGCCTGCCACTGGCAAATCAGGTGAGTTCCCAGAGTGCTGTGGGATTAGGCGACTATCTGGTTGACTGTTTTCGAACACACTGGAGTCTTGGTAGAACCATTGAGCACAGTGGGTGGCAGCAGGCTGATCCAGCAGAGAAGCAATCAGGTCTCAGAGAACACTCAGCTGTGGGGCCAGGAAGGAGAAGCTGACACCCAGATGCCAGCGCTTCGGAGAGCTTATCTATGGAGTTGCACATATGGGGACTACATCTGCTCGGGTTGTGCCACCAGTCAACGTTCAAACCAGCACGGTTACCATGGCGTGAATAGACACCAACGTGGTTGTGTGTCTGGGTCTTTTCTTGCTAAGACAGCTGTCAAAAGCAGGATGTTAGCCCCATGAAAGCGAATTTTCAGAGGAACAATCTAGGTACTTCAAGGACTCAAGATGACTTATTTCTAAACGTTCACTTTAGGAAAGGGTGTGTGTGTGTGTGTGTGTGTGTGTGTGTGTGTGTGTGTGTGTGTGTGTGTTTGAAGATTGTGAGTATATGCATATGCGTACACATGTGTAATTGTGCTGTTTTTTTTGAGCAGCATAATAGTGTTCCAGGAAATTTAGAATCAAATGGTAATGGAAACGTATTTAAAGCTGCACACTGAAAAGTTCTTGATACACTATGCTGGCATAGACAGTTGTCTGCCAGATTTAATATAACAACTCCTCTCTCACGTATAACACGGGAAGTGACTCCAGTACATCAACTAGTATTTACCATTCGGACATTAGTTTTCTTATCTCTTCATAATGGCTCCAGGAGCAAGCTGAGTGATTCCACACAAACCATACATGTTTTTTTTTTTTTTATCTCTTTCTCTCCTAAGAATCCTTCAAAGGAGACAAGAGTAAGTTTATATGTTGGTATTATCTTAAGTTAATATCTTGAACCACCCTGACCAATGGACAAACGTATGTACTGGCGTCCAGTTTATGTGCCTCTTTCAATTTCAACTGTGTGTTTGTGCGGTCCTCTATCTTTATTAAAATCACCAATTCCTGATAGATACCAGGCAAGGTGTAGGAGAAAAGAATGATTTGTTATATTTGTGTTTCTCTGTGGTTGGGAATCATTTACCAACAGTTTGGGAGACTTTTGTTAGAATGCTATGTTTCTTCTATTTTTATATTATATTAACTCAACATTTAAGTCATAAAAATATCCACTAAGGGCCCACAAGACGTGTCAGCAGGTAAAGTTACTTGCCGCTCAAGCCTGATGACCTGAGTTTGAGTCACAGAAGCGGTGAAAGGAGAGAACCAACTCCTGCAAGTTGTCTCTGCCCGCCACACTTGTGCCATGACAAATGTGTGTCCATGCTTGCTCACAGACAGCTCGTACACAGTAATAATCAATATAGCTGTTAATCTCTGAACATTGTGATAGAAGCATGCACATTTTAAAGATACCATATATCAGTGATTGCCATTCATGAGAGGGAAGTGGGCATCCTTATATACATGCTGTTTTGTAACTACATATTACTATTTCTCTTTTGCAACTAGCAGAGGAAATTTGCACTCTTAGCATCAGTGAGCTTTTAAGGTCACCCTAAATGTGTTTTGACAGTATTGGGTATAAGCAAAACCATAGTATCCCTATTGATCTGATGTTGGGTGTCAGGATTGATAGAATTTGACACCTTAACCTTAGTGTTAAGACATTAATAGGACAAACAGGAAATCTGGACTTCCAACCCCATGGCTCAAATCCAGAACATGGACTTTGGCTTCATGATGCTGACTTTGGCATGATCCAAAATGTCTACACATTTGGACTAAGAGCTTGCACTATTCAATATCAGAACAATAATGACAAATTGAAACTACTTAGGGTTAAAGGACCAGAAATATTCATCTAGCCCCTAAGGCTGCTGGCTAAGCTTTTACACAAACAATCTGGGTACTTGATGCTGTTTATTTGGGGTAATACTGGGCCTTAGTGAAAAACATAGATTCTCTCCCATCCTCAACCCCCAAGTCCCCTCATGTTGCCAACATTCAGAAACCTTCAGCTAGCCTGTCTTCCTCAGGTCTGACCTCCACATTCCAGTTAACAGTCTGTGGTATGACTGTACTTGTCTTAAGTCCCACTGAGAGAACGGGAGAAGGAAGCTGTGGAAGAGGAGGCAATGCCAGGTTGTCTCCACCTCCTTCCAGTTCTCAGAGTGAACAATCAAGGTGGTGTCCGGTCCCCTAGCCAAGGTCCTCTGGTAAAGTGATGGTTTGTTCATTACTTCCTGAATTGAACACTAACCTATCAAATACGTATTTATGTACTTGTTTACCTAGCCTGGCACACTGAAATTAGATGTGAAAAATGTAAATAACTACTTTTTATTCTTATAGTTGGGGATGGGGGTGTCAGGCAAAGAAGAATAACATAGAAATAAGCAATTGTGGCCAAATTTGTCGGAAGTATATTATGGCTGTGTAGACTCAAGGACTGAAGAAAGCCAGTAAGGAAAAGGATAGAAAAGTGCCTTGTAGGGTCAGAGCAGGTACCATAGGTGGTATGACCTTCCAGGGGTCTATGTGGATGAGGCTGTTTTAATAGGTAGAGAAGGTTGGAAAGATACTTCAGGCAGGGAGGTTGGCATGGTCTGATGCTCAGGAGTTTGAAAAGACATAGGAAGTTGTCCTGTGTGGCCACAACATGGGGGCTATAGAAAATTTGGCACTAACAGCCTGTTCATTTAGACTCAGACAGCAGTTATTCCATGTACCACTACAGAGATAGGCTTAAGGGATAGGAATGAGCAACACCTCCCCTGCATCAAAGAAACCCATCTTCGCATAGACACGGACATTCCCATCGTGTTTCAGCAGAGTGAATAGGAGAGGGGCCAGCGAGTCTAGAGAGAATAACAGGTTAAAACCAGTCCCAAGGGGCTTCAGAGAGGGCTCAGAGGTTAAGAGCACTGACTGCTCTTCCGGAGATCCTGAGTTCAATTCCCAGCAACCACATGGTGGCTCACAACCATCTGTAATGATATTTGGTGCCCTCTTCTGGCTGCAGTCATACATGCTGAATACATAATAAATAAATCTTAAAAAACAAAAAAACAAAAAACAGTCCTAAGTCTGGGGTTTAGACTTCACTTCTGAGGGACCAGAAAGCTACCTGTGGCTGATGTTGTGTTTGGAGTTAGGACTGGGATCTCCATGGCAGGGTAACAGGGAAGGGATAACAGAGAAAGAGCCCAGTAGAGTTTGGGACAGCTGTGAGGAGAGAGGGTGAAGCTGTCACTCGGGAGGAAATCGAGAGACTGCAATGAAGAGGGGCTGAACGTGTTTCAGAAGAAAATTCTATTCTTCTTCTTTACGGATTGGGACATTGAGTCTTCAGAAAAGCAAAGATCTCATCCTAATACTTAAAAGATAGCAAGTTTTAGAGCTGATATGAGGATCTGGGGCTGTGAATGGGGTTCCCTGTTCTGCCATTGGCCTGTTTTATAGATTGGATATGGGAATTAAATAATACAATCCACAGAAACTCCTCTGCACTGTGCCTGCCCAAGCATCTGAACTCGAGACCTCAGGCCTTTATAACTGTTTCCATCACCGCCATCATTGCAGCCCATTTGTCCTGTGCGTCTTCGCAGACCAGAGACTTGCCCCATAGTGTCCTGAGCCTCACAAACCGAATGACAGGCAGAGTTGTTGCAGAAGGCACTGTGGATACTATAAAAAGACAGACATGTTCCTTTTAGACACATAAGAAGCTAAGTCATGACAGTGCTCTAAAGCCAGCAAGCAGTCGTCATTAAATCATTCATGATGTGCAGGTGTTGGTCATTTGGAACAGTTAAGGCAAACATCTTCTATCATGACTACCTTGTTTAAGGAATTCTACATGGATATTTCCTCTAAGGTGTTTTTAGTAGTTGACAATGTCGTTTATCTTAGGAACCCTTTCAAGTCAGCTTTACTGTGGGGAAACAAGAAATTGCCCTGAAAATACAAGTGGGATAATGCATGCTGGCCTTCCTAATCACACCCACAACATGTGTGTCATTAGGAGTAAAGACAACATCTTACGTTCCATGGCAAGTTTAAGTCAAAGGACCAAATACCTCCACCCTTTGTATCAACAAAGTCTTGTACAAAATGGAGCTCCAGAAGTCCTTCCTCCCTCAAGGGCTTGGTGAATCTAGAAGGGGGTGTGGCTCATGGTTGAAATCACCATCTTAATCTTGTGGAGGAGCTAATCTTAGGAGAGCATTAACGTGAATGAAGTACAGAGCTCATCTTGATTACTCAAAAAACCAGAGCTCATATTTGTTTTTCATTTAATTTTGCAGCTAAAATATGATGAGATGTCTCACAGAAACTGTAACCATCTTCCAAGTTGTTTTGTAAATGAAACACAAATAGTTTTCCAGTTAAAGCTCGTTATTTCCTTTCTTCACGTGTGTTCATACTAAGTGCTGGTAAAATTCCATTATGTTTTGACTTTAACATTAAATATTACCTTGAATATACACTTCCCAACAGCCACGTTCTGATGTGACATATTGTACTGTTTGAAGGGTGTCATATGGTCATCTGTCAGCCGAATGTTGTTCCACGAAAAGAATTTTATTCTTCACATGTCATCTAGAATGCTTCATGTTTAAAAAAAAATAAAAAGGAGGAAACAGAGCCGTTTTCACAGAATCTGAATATAGAGAAATTAGATGCCGGCAGGTTTGAACTGTGGTAGCAAGAGACGATTGTCTGCTAAGAATATTATAGTCACTATGTAATATAGGTGAGACTTGCTATATTTCTGAATATTTTCAATTTGATCTGATTGTGTTTCATAGCAGAAAAGAGAATGTTTCCTTTCAGGACTTTTATACTAATATCTCCTGGTCTTTTTTTTAATGTGGACATGGAAACGGGGTCCTGTTAGTTATGAGATAGAACAACATTTACTCCCTGTCTCAGTCTGTAGTGGAGGTTGACTTAAGGTATCAGGAAAAGAGGGAGAGAGCAAAGAATAATTGAGCAGTCAATGTTTCTATCAGTAGCATTTCTTTCATCAGGAATTAACATGCTGGCCCTTATCCAAAGACACCTCATTCTCCTGTTACATTCTAGATCTGGTCCAGACTGTGGCTGCTCTGTAGAGCCGGATGAGGGAGGGTCTGGTCAGTTTGTAGGTGCCGTGCACAGAGCATGTGGACATGGATGGATGGTCTCCCTCTCCCCATGTCTTCCTTCCTGTTAATCTTTGCTTGGAACATGCCTGACAGATTTTGTTTTAATGCCGGTATGTTGCCATATCGAATATGTGGGGAAAGTCTGCCCTTGCTTATATGTTACATTACAATTTTAGAATCTAAACCTCATGCTGTGTTAAGAAAGGAAGGGTGACCCTGTCTAATTTTTTTTTTTTTTTGTCACTGTATTTGATTCATGAACTCTCTGGAAATTAAAGTAATTTATTCCCTTTTGCAAATTAATTAAAAGCTTTGGTTTTGTTCTCTCTTAAAAAACCATCAAGTCACTCTGTGTCTTTTCCTTTCTTTTACAAATGTGTGCTTTGGAATATTTGTAGATTTCATCCTTCAGCTCTCCTGGCCGTTTCTACCATGTATCCCTGTGAACTACTCAATGTCCATTGAGCTAACATTAAAGGCAGTTCTCCAGAACAGAGGTCTGAAAAAGACCAAAGAAGGCATCAAAGTTTAAGAGACTAGAGTAGGCATTTAGGCAGAGGAAAAGCTGAAGTTCAAGTTCTTTGGTCCATTTCCTTTCTTTACTTTCTTTTTTGTTTGTTTGTTTTGTTTTGTTTCGTTTTTGTTTGTTTTGTTTTTCAAGACAGGGTTTCTCTGTGTTGCCCTGCCTGTCCTAGAACTCCTTCTGTAGACCAGGCTGACCTTGAACCTGGAGATCTATGTGCCTCTGCCTGTGCCACCATAGCCTGTTTTTGGGGGCCAATTTCTTAATTCATAACCAGCATTATTCATAGTATTTTATTCATATTCAGTCTGACTCGAAGGCTTTTCCCATTTTTGATTAAGAAGGGTGAAAATAAAAAGGGGGGAGAAAGTGATATATTTTTCAGGATTGAGAAGACATTGTGTTGAAGTTTTTATGGTCAGAAATAGAAAAAGCGCGCAGTGAGGCTGGTGGTAATGACCTTGTAGTCAATCCTGTGAGCTGCCTTCTTGTCTCTTCCGGAATTTCAAAGAAATGTTCACTCCTTGGTATATTGATGGTGCCAGAAGGTGTTTGATCAGATTCCCAGATATTCTATTCTAAGTGTGTCAGAATGTAGGAAGAATGCATTGCATTTCAAATATGAGCATGAGTGCATTGATGAAGATGACCCCGGCATCCTGTCAAAACATTTCCCCCAGAACCAAAATCAACCATGGAAAGGTGTCCATAGCCAGGTTTGCGCACTTTGGTTGACATTTCAGTCTAATGAAAGCAATTTGAAATAGCTAAAGTTCATTTAAATCTATGTACTGTAGAAGTTAGTTTGACTAATAGAGGCATTACATCAATAATTTGAAGACATATTTTATTTTATTCTTATGAAAGACAGAATTATTAATAGCTTATTTTTCTGTTTGTAAAATACACAGTAATAAGATTATTCTATACATTCATTAAATAAATTTCAACCAGTAGGAAAAGAAAGGAATTAATATTTATTGAGCATTTACAAGATGTTATATAGCTAACTCCTTTATATTCACAACCTCCCAATAAACTAGCTATTAGCATTCCCATTTTATAGATAAGAAGAAAAAGGTCAAGGTCACTTAGCTGGCAAATAACAGAGATAGGATCTGCTTCCAGGTCTTTCTGATGACAGTGGCTGCACTTTCAAAACTTAACACATAAATTTCAATATAATTAAAATGATGCAATAATAGTATCAGGGAAAACAAAAGCACCGGAGCGCTGAGTTGAACTACAAGTGTGTCTGAGCTGATCTCGTGGCTCCGTATCTAGTGTCTTCGTAGGTGGGCCATGGCGACAGGGCTCAGGGGGTGTCAGTGCTCGCCACGCGAGCTGACAACCTGAATTTCAGCTCAGGAACCCACAGAGGAAGGAGAGAACAGAATCTTGTGGCTGTCTTCTGACCTCCACCATTGTGTCATAGCATGCACACACACACACACACACACACACACACACACACACACACACACACACAGACCATGCATAATTTTTTAATTAAAATGTTACCATTTTTGAAAACTAGTAGGACATTCCATTTTGCTATATTTTGCATACATCCTTGTTTCCCAAAGAAGCTTAGAAAGTCCCAGAAGCTACCATAGGAAGCTGTGGGTTGGTATGCTGTTCGTTTGTGCGTGGACCAGGACAAATACATACCCAAATTTTACTGTTCAAAGAATCCTATTCATCTCAGTTCTCATTCTCTGCTGATTAAATTTCGACTCCTTTAGCTCAGAGTTTTTCCTTCCTCTCCTATCCCACATCTTCTCAATTCATAAAATGTGAACTGAAACCCAGAGGTTCAAAATACACAGTGATCCTCTCATGACCATTGTCAGGAGTTTGATTTATTGAGTGACTATAGGAAATAATATTTTCTGGGGAAAATCTCTAAATCAACCCCTTTGAGTCATCTTTTATAATGCCGATGAGAAAGTTCTCCTTCTCTAAAACATTTTTCATAATAACTCAAAGTGAATGCACCTACCTTCTAAATTCTTTTATACTAAATGACATGAAAACATTTTGTATATACTGGGGGAAATGAGGAATAAGAGAGTAAGGGCTAATTAGCTGATTGTTTATGACACATGCCCATATCAAGATATTTCATCTAATCTGAGATATTAATTGAGAACTTCCTTAACCCATCAAAATGATATCTGTTGAGGTCAATTTTACGCTGATGGCTTAAGGGGTGGGGGTGGGGGTGGTCACTGTGAAGCAAACTGGATAAAGAGGAAAGGATATGCCACTAAAATGGATGCCACTGATTAGCATCCTATGGATGGCATGCATTAACCAGAGAAGAGCCATTTCCACAACCCTGCAGTCTCCATGCATGTCTCCTTGGAACGTTTGCTCCATCTCTGAGGTCAGCTGCTTCCAGGTTTTCTGTTTTAGCTAACTGATCCCAGTTACCTGTATTTTCGATCTGTGCTTTTCTCTTACTATTCCCAAAGATGGGAGGGAGAGAGAAAACTTTATTTACTCATGTAACAAACTGAAATAGAGTTAATTTTCAGGGCTTCAGCTGAATTATTAGAGATTACTATGTTATAAATGGTGAAAGAAGGGCCCCTCGCCTGTGTGGTAATGCTGTCAGGGACCCCGCGGCTGTTGGCTCAGTTCATGATGTATTATACTGCTAGCATTTCAGTGTTCTCTGGGGAGCTCTGGTCCCACCATAAGGTCAAGAGTTAACTACTTGTATTTTAGCTGTGTACTGCTATCAATACTGCCTCTATGGAAACCTCACTTGACGTCATCTTTGAATCTCTGTGACTGTAGTCAAGCTTTAGTAAAAGTCAATAAGAACATTAGATTGTTGTCCATATTACGACTTGCTACTTCCTGCCAGCAATCTACCAATTCATTAGCAGAGAGTTTTGGAACTCTGGCTTGATTATTTATGCAGTCAATAGCAAGGCTTGTCTGCATTCATAATTGTTTGATTTTATGGCCTCTCCTTTAAACAAACATTGTCTATGGTAATGTGATGCCCTGATGGATGGGAAAGGTTTTGTCTGTGAATATCATTTAGATAATTAAAAATGACAGATGAAATCGCCCGCTGTCTTGACCTGTACTTTGTTCCCTCAGTGATGCTGAAGAGATGCTGATTGCTGTCAATCAAAACCCATTGGAGGTTTGTAAATTCTGGCTGCTGTGAACTCTGACCCCCACTGTTGATCTGAAATAGATAATAACCTTGAAATTCTATTAGAATTTAAAAACAGTTTTACTAAAGGGGCACACTATATATTTCTTTTCCTCTAGAACATTCTTTACAATATTGAAAAATTAAAGTAAAAATGCAGTGTTTAGCAAAGCTTAACATAGCAAATCAGAGCAAACATCTTACTATGTAATTCCAGATTTCTGATTAGGACACTTGTCCTTGGACTTGGCACATTTAGTAAAACTTAAGGTTTTGCTCATGTCTTGCATTGTGCTTAGAATTTCTTTTTGATATTTTTTAGGATTTCTATTGTTGAAATATTTTCATAACTTTCATGTATTATGATCTTCATATTGTAGTGTTTTTTCATATTTATCCTATGCATTTTCAAACTGTTTTTTACCCATCCACCAGCCCCTCAAAAAACCAAACCAATAACTAGAATTTTGAATTTACTGGGAATCCAAAGGCCATTGTTTATGTCTATCTAAAGTTCTCAGCAAACATCATCAAAATCTTAGGTCAAGAGATCAGATTGATAAATGCATTTGCCTTGCAAATCATTTTTCAACATTACCCAGATGCTTAAAATATATTCAGACGCACCATTGCTGCTTGAAATATGCATGCAGGTAAGCAGTGATGGAGCTGAGAAAGGAGGGACCACATTCATCAATATCATAATCCTTATACTCCCCAACAGCAAAAAAAAAAAAAAAAAAAAAAAAAAAAATCCTAAGCAAATTCTACAGGCTAGAAATTATAACAATTAGGTGTTGACAATTTTCAGTACACTGGTTGTAGCAGAAGTCTGTAACAGCAGGGGCTATGCAGCAAGAATTGTAAATAGCAAAGATCTCTTGAAAGGTAATTGAAGTAGCATTGGTTTTTCTACTAGAGAAACTTCTGCAGCGAGTTTAATGAATTTTTGAAGAGTCATGTGAAGAGTTATTAGCATTGTTTTGCATTTTGTAATCAGCAGATACTTTAAGATAATATTAGTTCTGTCAGTGCCTCAGTCACAATGGAAAATAAACATTGTCATTTATATTTGGCGGTTGATGGAGGTATCAGCAGCATAACTCTCACTTCGTGTCTGAAGGTGTTTATCCTGAATGAGGCATTCACCATATAAAAATGATGCTCTTTCATACTTAATATTTTTTATTTTTGTTTTTTTAAATCTCGGCAAATAGTTGTAAGATTACTACTTCAGAGAGATCTATTGCTACTTGATATGAAGAAATTAATATAATAAATGTTATACACACACACACACACACACACACACACACACACACACACACACACACGCCTGTAACATTAAAAGCAAAGACACTCCATGCCAGGAGGTAACTTTCTCTGAGATTCTGTTCAAATATAAACATGGATATAGTAATATATAAAACTATTCATGTATCTATCATTAGAACCTTAGTTCAACTTCACCTTTTCGGTAACTCTTTCCTTGTTTTTTTAAGTTCCCTGGGATGCCTGATCTGATATTTTGGCATTAACTACTACCTTACTAGTACATTCATGAATTCATTCCCTGAGTCATTCAATTTGATATTCATTAATTCATGATTTCTAGAGACCATTTAGATAGCAGAAGCTTTGCATGGCACTTGCTCCTCCTGTGTTTTCATCCTTCCTCCCAACTACATTATAAGCAAATGTTCTTCAAGAACCAGCAGCTTCCTCATAGACCAGGTGCTACCGCCCTGGCTCTGGCTGTCCATGACTATCTCAAGTGGCTTTGCCTCCCTGGACCATGGCCCCATTCCTGGGAAGCATCTAATTGGCTATGCCTTGGGTTTCTTCCACTCCAGTGTTTTGGGAACTAGTCAGAACTGGATAGCAAAGACCTGAAAGTTGCTAAAAGGCAGAGCTGGTGGATTGCTTCTACCATGGATTAGACCATGCAGCTTATCTATGAAGAAGAATGAATATCCACTCATTTGAGTCACAGCCATTAGAACCACTGCTGAATAAACACAAATTCATTTCTCTTTTGGTTTGGCTCTTCGCCCTCACCCCTCCACACATGTACCTCCTGCCTTTGATGTAGCACCCCTTGACTTCACAGTGAGTATACTGTCTGTGCTTCCTTCTACTCTGAGGCTAAAAGTGGATGATCTCGGTGCAAGGGAAACATCTTATTTTGACCTTTTGAACTGCAAAATCTCTATTGGCTCCTAGACTCATCAAATCCTATATTGGATAACTATTGTTGGTTTCAAGATTCATCTCATTTCTGCCTATATTCAAGCCAATTTCATCAGAGGTTATCACTTACCTACTGAAAAACTCTCTGTTTCTGAACATTCTTTTTCCCTCTGTTCCCTGTGACATCATATTCACAAATCATGCATATCTTCTAAAGACTACAATTTCTTGATGGAGAAATTTTGTACACATTTTATTCAATTTCTTTTGGGACTCCTTATTATGCTTAAGGCACAGATGAAAGATTTCAATTGAGTATATTACCATAAATTCAGTATAGACTGAACATGTATGTGTATTAATATAGCCATGAAATGCTTTGAGTCTGATATGGCATGTACAACTGTTTTATTTATGAGACTTTAAGACAGAACAATATATCCTCTTGTTAGTTATTCCATGGGTGGCCTTGTTTATATGCTTAAAACTTCCCCTTGGTTATATGATGTGGACACACATATTCAATGAACTAAAACAGATTTTTCACAGTATGAGCGCAGTTTCTGTCAAATCCACAGAGAATAATGAGGTTGGCATTGAACTAAGAATGCTTCCTCTTGCCTTTTCAAAGAGTAATAATGATACCTAAGAGCCAAACCTGGCCAAATGTTTGCCAGTTACAGATCCCAAACTCAGTGTTTATGGATTTCTTGGGGGAGATTGCTTGAAATTGCAACTGTGCAGAAAAGCTGGGTTTCCACAATGTGCTCAGTGTTTACTCTGAGTACTGCAGCACTCCATGTCTTCAAAAGGGCATTTTCTCACTTCCTGTGTGTAGAGAGTTTTGTTTTCATCATGGAGAAACTGAGATTCAAAGGATCCATGGAACTTGTTCCAAGTCTCACAGTTCAAAGGCCACAGAGTTGAAATTCTGACTTTATTTTCCTAAATAAAATTTGACCAAACCCAGGATTTTTAGTGTTACCTCCTACTACTTCTAGGTTGCCTTGGCATGGCTGTGTTTTATTTGAAATATGTTTTACTTACCATGTACATTGGGTTAATAATATCACAATCTGCTAATAATAGCGGTTTCACCATGGAAGACAAATTTTGTTCACATCTTAGAGTCTATTTCAGTTGCCTTCCTCCTTACCCCTTTCCAAAATGTAGGAGACACATATTGTCATGTACATTTGGGGGATGAGAAAATGGAAGCAACTCATCCAATCTTAGGAAGTGTTGGAGGCAGCATTCCAGTCCCGCCAAGCCTCCGTTTAAAGCTCGGGCTTTTGACCAGGGTACTTGGAAGCAGCCACGCACAGAGAGCAGATCAGGCCATCTGCTGCCAGCTCTGAGCATCCACTTCTACACAGACATGCAGGTCGGATGCTTATTTCACTGAATTCAGTCTATCTGGGGGGTAATTTGTGTTTGGCTTCATCCTACCAAGTTCAGCCAAATTGATTTATATGAAGCCTCCAATTATCTTCTCGGCACACCAATGCCAAAAAAAAAAAAAAAAAAAAAAAATGTTGGGGAAAATGTTCTTTTCTCGGGGAATGAAGATTAAGAAAAATCAACCTACAGTGGCAACCATGCCTCTGAGAGCAGGCTTTCTCCTACCTGATTATCCAGTTCTTTTGAAGGTGGCAGTTCACACTGCTCAAATGAAAGCCTAATTTTGGAAGATTAGTAATCTTAAAGAAAGTTAAATGAAGCAATCAACAGGCCACTCTTCGCAAAGCCTCAGTCAAAAATCTCACTGTCCAATTCTCCTCTGCTATTGGGAGATAACTACTGATGCTTTGGTCCTAAAAAGTAAATGCTTTTTGGATCCTCTGTATATTTAATTATCTATGACTGAACTTTTTGTTATTTTCTTTAAAAACAAAATGTATAGATAGCCCTTCAGTAATACAGTCTGAGTGTTGATTACTTCCTCAGCTTCCCACGATAGCGAGCTTGCTCTTAGTAGTGTGCCCTTACAGTTAACACAGATTTCTTAGAATACTTTGTGAGATGGGTACACAAGGTAGATGAGGATGTTTATTTTGCCAGTCTCCGTCCAGTGTTCTGTTAGTCTCTGGGTGTACTCTAGACTTTATTAAGTACAGGTATTTTTAAGATGTGTGTGTGGCAGGTCTACAAGTGAAAACCTGTGAGGCATTGAAAGTCTGTTGTCCATGCATCGGACACATCTGTTCTCTGAGAAGGAATAGATCTTTAATTTCTTTGGTAAAGTGTTCACTGTTTATCTTCAAGAGTTGAAATGGTTTTAGATTGCTCAGATTTATTTAAAACACATAAGTTCTACACTTGAGCACAAAGTGATTTTTTTTTGTTCTGAGGGGCTCCTGAGGTTATATTTTACAACAATATGAAAATTAATTGTGACAATAAAGGCCATGATTACAAGTCTTCCATGCTGTCCCACTGTGACAATTAGCTCCCAGTTGTTAGACCATTTATTTACCAGAACATTAAGTGTCAGTACTGTCTTGAGTTGTACTGGGAATGAACTATGATTGAGACTGGTTGTGAACCCAAAGGACACACCATCATGTTCTTTATCAGTTGAGGATAACAGTACACTTGAAGATAGCCCTGTTGGGTCACCTCTGAGAGACTTTAGGAGCATTGATGTCTAACAGGTAACTCTCCTCCAAGCTCTGTCCTAGACCCTTGGTTTCCAGAATGATGAACTTTAAAAATAAGTTTATTGTTCAGGGAGAGTGTGACATTGCCAGCAGCCTGATCAAAGTGGTCCTTCTTTCTTTCTTTCTTTCTTTCTTTTTTTTTCTGGAGAGCATGGAGTGCTTGCCTTTTGCAAAAGAACAAGGTGAGGCAGGCACCCTGAAAGGATGCAGGCTGTTTCCTAAAAGGCAACAAGGAGAATGAGGAAAAGCTTCCATTAAACTTTCAAAGACACGTGTTTCAAACAGACTTGTTCAGCACTTACAGCCTCTGAAAGCACCGGAGCTCTGGAGAAGTCTCTTCCCCACACGTGGACTAGCACCTCAAAGCCAGGAGGAAGCAGACAGACCCCAGCAAGGAAAGAGCAGCTCCCTGAGTCTTTTGTAAAATACTGTCCTGAACCCTTGATCATTGAGTTCAAAGTTGGGGATTTTATTATTTATCCTACAGTAATGAGTGAGTTCTTTTTCTTGGAATGTGATTATGTTTATTGATATTGATTCTTAATTTACTGTCTTTATATAAAGACGATTTCTTAGTATTTGATCTAAATTTATATCAAAGTCCATGTCAGGTGCTCTGATGCCACACATTTAACCCTGGGCTCCACTGCTAGTTGCCTGGGTGATTCTGAGCAAATTGCTTCAAATCTCTGTAGCCCAGTTTCTTCAGCTAAAAAGTCAGAAGCAGACTGATTCTTACAATCTCAAAGGAAAACACACAGGATGCAAAGTCAGTGCTGTATATCCTGGCCAGTGTTTAAGTTTTCCCCCAAATCAGGGCTTTTGCTAAAGAAAATTTGGACTGTTGAATAAAAACATATTTAGTATTTCTGGTAAGTCTTTTGCTTATAATTTCATCCATCTTTTAAAATTATAAGAAGTTTTTTTTATAGCTTTAAAGATAGTTTTCAGGAATATCCTATTAAAGAATATGAGCCAGACATAAAATGACAAATAGCACATACTCTCATTTATTTATAGAAGCTAAAAATTATTTCATACAACTATAGTAGAATAATACCCGCCAAAGGCTTAGAAGGATGGATAGAAGAGGGCTCACATGTTACAGAGGGCAGTTGAAAATTAATTGTGTGCTTCCAAATACCTGGTCAAAAGGATTTTGAAGGTTCTCAGCACAAATAAGTGATCAACGTTAAAAATGAAGGATGCCATTCACCATGATCTGATGATCATTGCACATTATATACGTGGATTAAAAAGCCACACTGTGCCTTATAAACATGTATGATTATTGTGTGTCAATGGAAATTTAATGTAAAAAATAAGTCATTGTAGAAGAAATGCTTATAAATATTATCATACATGCTTGTAATTAAAAGGAACTAGAAAAATACCCAATTACAAGTACTTAAAAACTCCAGAAATAACATTCAAATTCTTAGCAAAGAAAAGAGCCTGAGGGATCAAATAGAAAGTGTCTATGTACAAGTGTGGAAAACCTGCTCACACCGTAGCCCCATGTCATGTTGTGACTTGTTAAAGCCAATGGGAGAAAGAGTATAAGACATTCTGCCGCTCTCTGTGCCTATTTGAAATCTAAATTCTCACAGCATTCAGTGAAGGATAAGACTGGTGATTGGGTAGAAAATCAGAGGTATAGTCTTGCTGTGAAATTGTTCTGCCAGATAAATTAATGGATCTAATTAACAAAAGTACAAATGGCTCTAGGAGGGACACAGACCAGAATGCAGATAAACACCATAGCCGGAGGCTCACTTAGTTCACCTAGAGGGCGGCTCGCACTCCACAAGCCTTCCACCTGCGCTGCACCAGCCACATACAGGGATTCCCATCCATTTAGCAACATTTGAGTTAGATGGGATGACTGCTGGTGTGTGTGTGTGTGTGTGTGTGTGTGTGTGTGTGTGTGTGTGTGTGTGTGTGTGTATGTGTATCTGTCTAGTGTATCTATGTGTGTCTGTGTGTATGTATGTGTATGTGTGTGTGTGTGTCTATGTGTGTGTGTGTGTCTGTCTGTCTGTCTGTGATGATCTAACTGGCTACATGAAGTATTTCTGCCTGTCTAGGATGTCAGTCCTATCAAAGCTGACCTATGATTGAAGACTGTGTTCTGACCTTTGTCTTGTGGTACTCTTCTATTCACTTAAAAAGAGATTCCCAAGTAGCCTTGTTAGACATTATATACACGAGATATTTCAGGGTGCAGTTATCACAGGTCTTTTGTGGTTCGCTTGGGAGTTAGCAGGCTGAGGCCGTTTTCAAAATGTTAGAAAATTGCCTTTCAGAAATCATTTTTCCCTTCAGAGCCCTATGAAAGCAGGTCTATGTTACAACATAGGTACCCCTTACAGTATTGGTTAATTTAATTGAGGAAGTGGGCAAGTCTAAAAATTGAATTCCCATCTTCAAGCATTGATGGTCAAAGGTCACCAATCATAGAACAGGATGAGAAATTGTCGTGCGTATATTTCGATCCGAATAGATTGACAGTCCACTCCTAGATTTCAGAAACTCCAAATAGCATTCCCAGGAATGCTTCCTTTATGTGTGTGAAAACTGGACCTGGTGTTAGTAAATAAGGAAGTGTTAAATTGGGGCATGCTTTCTTCCTGGGAGTGCCGTGGGGAGCTGTTCTGGGAGCAGTGTCATTATGCTGTCAGTGTGGGCCCCGTGCCCCACTGGAACAATGAGAGGTTCCTTTCCTCTCTGTAAAGGGAATATATATAAAAGGAAGGGGTGCAGTAGTAAAAGGAGGGGCTGTTTCAAAGCAATGAGAAAGTTGGAAGTACCAGGGGTACTCAGTGGATTTATGGAGTTAGTATTTTGCTGTTACATGTCTCAGTGTAGTAACAATATCACACAGAGATCCGGGCTACAGTTTCTAAAAGCGCTAGTCAGGGCATGGAAGTACCCGCAGCTAGGTACCTAGCACCTGTCCAAGGCCTTCATTGCTGGAGGCACCAAGATCCCGGGGTGGAAGACCTTTTTCCCCTATCTGCAACAGAAGCTCCCAGAGTGGCACTCAAGTAAAAATGGACTGGTTTGAGTAAAAGTCATATGCTGCTTTCTTTTTTTTTTTAAGTTGTAAGGACAAGACTAGCCATTTCTTATGGCTTTGGAAAGACCACAGATATGACCAAGGTATATCCATGCAAACAGAGAGCCATCTGGAAAAGCTGTAGCCAGTCTTAGATCACTAGTCACCTTGCATTCCATTGCCTGGTAGATGTTGTGGTCAGTCATGGAGGGTTTTTTGTGTGACTCTCAATAATGCTGTCTGCCTCTGCTTTCCTGATGCTTAAAAGTATCTTCAAGACCAACATATGCTCATTTTTTAATGGTGTACTGTGTGTAACAAGCTCTTCATAAACATTATTTTTTTAATTAATCTGGAAGATCACATTTAAATTTTCAAGGGTCAATATTTTACATCTAACATCAGACTTAGATTTGAAATGCTGTGGCCATTGAGGAATATAGTGAGAAGCACTCTTTGTGTCTCTAGCTCTCCTTTGGGGAGGGGGCCTCTCCAGCTGAGGGATATGAGAGCTCACCTAAGACCCTAACACCCTCTAGGCTGGTGCTGGAGTCAGCAAGCAGGCCACTGAGCTCTGCAGTGGGGCCCGGGACACCTCCTAGCAGTCACAGTTTTGTTCATTCTCTCAGCCTTCATCCCAGTGAGTGAACATGCTTAAGAATCTGTCAAATGGCTCTTCCATGCCTCTCCCATGCCCGAGTGACCGCTCTCATCCTGTTATTCTTACACTCACTCAGGCATTCTCTCAATGGCTGTCTATCTTGTGCCTCTGAGTGACAACATGCTGACTGCGTAGGTCTCAGGAACTGGTTCTGAGCCCCTCAAGCCTGCCATTGTGAACATGCATCAGGTTTTGACAAGGTGGTTCTGAGACGTTCATGTCTGTTCAGTGGCTGGTCAAGTTTCAGCAAATAGCAAGGAAAGAATCCCTACCTATACATCTGTAGAAAAGAGCTGGGGATAGTGGCCCCCACGCCACCCTAGGAGAGCACATCCATAGTATATGCTGAGAGTTTGTCCCTGCCAGGGCTTAATCATTGCTATATCAAAGAAGAACCCCAGAAGAGATCTGTGAATAAGTGAGAGTCACCAGGTAAGACCCCCCCCCCAGTCTCCGTTCACCTGTCAGTCATGCCTCTCCCCGACAATTCAGCACTTACCTTAATGAAAAGTTGCCAAAGCCACCAAGGTTTGAAACATTAAAGAGAAATAAATGCATTCGAATATGGAAAGCCGGTTTGCTCACCGAAAAACTGTGGGATTTCTTTTCATTTCAAATTAGTGTAAAGGCAGTTCTGCGAGTACAATGGAGAGCTTATTTGTTTGTTTTTATAAATAGGCATTTTAAAAAGAAAAGCATAAGTGATGTGGCCCTCACTGTCTGAGGCTTAGCAGGAGGCTTGTGATATTTTTGTTGTTGTTGTTATAACTTAGGCCTAAGAAAGCTGCAGTGGTACAATACATTACCGATACAACGGCCTGATAGATTTATAAAATGTTCAGTGAGTGTTTTCCACTTAGAGCAGCAGGAACACCTGCCTCTATTATTCCATCACTGATAAAATGGTAAATAGCTGATGTAAGTCCTGCAGCTTACAGAAAGCTGCACAGCTGACATCATTTGGATGGAATTATATGGGGTTTGCATTCAATTTCTTCATTAAATGACTTGCTAAAATTATGGGGTCATAAATGGACACGGGCACCCTTTTCATCTCTGTGCATTTTATCATCTCCGCCCACTTCCTCCTTCTCTCAATTGTGCCTCACCTCCCCCAGTTGATGGGAGACAGACCTTCAGGGAGAAACTGTTATTGTCGTCCATGGGTGATGATGGTGGGCATCCAGATAGCCACACTAATGGCATTTCCTTCCTTCCTTCTTTCTTTCTTTCTTTCTTTCTTTCTTTCTTTCTTTCTTTCTTTCTTTCTTTCTTTCTTTCTTTCTTTCAACCCAAGCAGTTCAGTTTCTCTCAAAGTCTATAAGACCTATAGCTTAACCTCTGGCAGCCCCATCTCTTCCCACTCACCAATTTAATTAAGCAGTAACCACCAATATTTATGAAGAAAAAAAATGCAACCGTACTCAAATGACATAAAGATACTGCTATAAAGCAGCAGTTATCATGTTGCACAATGTCCCTTTCCTGACCCAGAAAGAGGAGGCTCAGGGACCAAGGTGGATAGTAAGATGTGCTGTCTCGCCTCACCAAGGACATACTCCTAGCCTGGCCGAAAGAGCTGGTGGTGGCTGCTTCCCGGTGACAATATCACGTGGTTCTTCATTGTCTCCGCGCTGGAGGACAGCACTGTCCAGGCTTGCTTAAACACTCCAGGTGGCAAGATCTCTACTTTTTTCCAGAGGATGAGAAGGGAAACCGTGTTGAGGCATTGTCCTCCGCTTTCTTGGCTCATGCAAGGGCTCTGGTATCACAGTGAAACACAGGACACTGAACAGAGTTGGATTCGATTAAGAGGTGTCATACACACCCAGGGAGAAATTACCTATTCATTTAGTTTTTTTTTTTCTTTTCTCATTAACTCTTATAATTAATGTCTGTTTCACTATCTCTAATATTACTCATCTGTTCTTATCATCTACTATTAATTTAACTCATAGTAAATATTTACCTGCTCGTAGAAATGGAGCTTTAAAAAAAACTAATGATCTGAATCTGAATTTTACTCCTTTAGCTGTCAGAGTCTTGAATATTAATTAAAGGCATTTAGGCTAGATATTATAGGGCCAGAAAACAGAGCTTATCTTGTGATCAAGAGTCATGGGCAAGCCATGTGGCACATGATAGCTTTGGAAGATACAGGGGGACAAACATATTCAATCCTAGTTTGTAGGCAATGAGAGCCTTCAGACTGAAGACTCTGATATCTAGAGTGAGCTGTTAACTCATATGCTTAAGTTCAATAAAGAATGACCAGCCATATAAATAGAATTAGACCAGGAGATAGGACCTAAAGCCAGTAGACTGAGGCAGGGGACCCTACCAAGGCTTGTATGTATAGATCCACTTGATCCATCTCTCAAAGTCTGTCTTTCTCCCAAATATGGGGAGGAGACCCCTCCTTCACAACAAAGGTCTTCGTCTCTCAATGACAGCTGTTTACAGAGACAGTCAAAGGAAGACAACACTGTTGTCATAGGCTTCCTGACTGGCTTTGGGGAAAAGTGGTTGTGGGTTTTTTGACCCAGTTTGGAAAGAAGGGATTCTAGTTTTTATAGGTGCATCTAGAAAGGAAACAGGGAAAGAAGAAGAAGGTCAGAGAAACACTTGGCTTCTGAGACTGTCTCTGAGGCCTTTACTCTGGGATGTCATTAGAAGTGCCTGAGAAGATGCGTGCTGGGCACTTGACACTGGCGTGGGAGTTTATGGGGAATGATAGATCCTATCTTCTGAAATGAGGGTTGTATCTAGTTTACTATGTGTCAACTGACAAATGAGACTTAGACTATATTCTGTGGTCCTAGTACCCAGTCCTCCCTGGGAGATTGGTGATGTAGATGAGGGCCTCTTCCTGGCCCAGTCATCTTGTCTGTCTGGGTGACTCTGTTCTCTGTGTCTGTGTCGTAATCCCTGTATCTTTCCTTAAGCTTTGCTTACCAAGCACAGAGAATTCGTATTCTTTCATTTTGTATCAGCTCAAGTCCTTGGTCTTGATGCATTGGTTTGCACAGTGAGCCTGGCTTCTGGTGTGCTCTGCCTAGTGTTGGCTGTCTGCTTCACCTTGGCTGGGAATGGCTGGGAATGGCTGCATGTTTCTGCGGCCCACTGTCTCAGTAACCTGGGTGATCTGGACTCATGTTCTGTCTGTCTGCTGCTGCATCCCTTCCGCACCCTCAGCCTGCCTTCCCTAGCCCTCTGCAGCTTCATGGCATTGGGGAGGTATTTTGAATTCTTTTAGACAGGAAATGGTCTTCTGAACAGAATAGGAGCTGAAATGGAACTCTCCACGGGACTGAACCTTCTCACCTCAGAAGTAATGCACAAATGGGTAACTGAGAAGCATTTTTTTTTCTTTCTATATGTTGGTCAATGCCAAGGAAATGAACAGGGGTGAAACCATGAGGCCAACAGCTTCTTTGTACTCTTATGGATTGGAGCAGATCAGGTCTGTGCTACAGAGGGCTGCACAGGACAGTTCCAAGCCTACTGTTCTAACTTCAACTTCCAAACAAATCTTAATTATCAGGAAAAAAAGTATGAGCTTTTAGTAAATCCATTTTTCAAAAATCTCATAGCACCTATAGAAACATGCTAAGGAGCCATTAGAGTTCTTGCATCGTAGTAACAGGTGATTTGGATTAAAGTACTGAAAAACACCCCTACCCCTACACTGTTTAGCCTCCTTCAGTCAGATAACATTTAACTTAACTAATCAGAGGGGTATTCTCACTGGTGTTTTTGTTTGTTTTCAGAGCTGTGCATGCTCACTCAGTGCCCTGATTTAAACCAGTGAGGAGCACTTGCATTGCTATTTCTGTGTGAGTCCACACCTGCCAAGGAAGGATAAAGAACAAAAGATCTAGGACTCTGCTCATTCCATTTCAGTCAATTTTTGATCAGAGAGAGAAGCAAGGGAAAGAAAAAAAATGGCTCTCAAAGCAAACCACGTCAACCATCCAGAGTCTCAAACATTACAGAGTTATTGCTTCTGTATTTAAGTTGGCTCCTCAGCAGTAAGAGCATAGTCAGCCCCGCCCATGCCTCCCCTCAGCAACAGTGTGAGTATGTGCACAGAGAAGAGGGTGGACTGTGAAGATGGTGAGAAAACAGGGAGTGAAGCCACCATCAGCAAGCAGCAGAGTAAGGAGGGATGCAGGAGGAAGGGAAGAATCCTGTTGCTGTGCTAATGACCCCTAAAAGAGCCAGGAAGCTGTGGCCATGGAGAATCCTAACATCAGCATTTGTGACTCAAATCTTGCTGTATTATTATTATTATGCTTCAAGGAATCTGACAGAAAAAAAAAAACCCAAGAAAGAAAAATGAGTAATCCTACGCCAGCTGGCTTCCTCCAGCCCTTTGCGCTGGTGCCTTTTCTAAAGAGTACGTCTTTTCATGTACTCCCATGTAGTAGTCAGCAAAGTGATTCTCTTGAAATCGCATTTCAACAATGGAATAGTATTCAGGCGTGAAAATATGAAGTGATGACCCTAAAGAGGTCAAGTGAAGTAAGCCAGACACAACAACACAGATGCCATGTGTGAGTCACATGGAATCTCCAAACATTAATCTCATAGATGCTGAGCTATAGCCTTGACAGCCAGAGCTATAGGAGCTCGGGGTGGAGCGAGATCGGTCAACAGGTATAACACAACAAGTAGGAGCAAGAGGCTCTGGTCCGCATAGTAGGGTTACTAGAATTAATGATATGCATTCATTATACTTCAAATTGTACTTCAAATAGCTGAAAGAGGATTTTGAATGTTCTTGCAAAAAAACAATATATGAATGTTCTTACAAAAAACAATATACATATTTAAGTGATAGATATGACACTTACCCTGATTTGATCACTCTGTAATGTATGCATGTATCAGGAAATCACTTTGTTCCCTTAACATGCACAATTATTATGTGTCAATCAAAAATCTAACTAAAAGGAAAAACATATCAGATCACACCAGAGCATGAGGCTCACAGAGACCTGTTCCCAACAACCTTTATGCTTATATTTTGGGTAGAGAAATACTGCCTTTAACCAAGGACTGTGTTTCCCTATCCCAGATTCAAAATTTATGAATACTTTCAGAGAGTGTGCTTGGAAGAGCAGACCTTTCTAATCACTTGTTAGCTTAACAATAAACCATTGAAGCTACTAATTTGCCTCTAAACACATGATCCCACTGGAATTGCCCTACACACTACAGTTCAAAGGGCCTAATAATTGCCCTGTTCTTTCCTATGGAACTGTTTCAACCCCTGCTGAGACACAGCAGACAAAGAATGTGAGGGGAATCCTGCCTCATTCCCAGTAAGCCTGGCTCAGATCTTAAGCAGGATCTGTGGTCACTAAGGGAACCCTTGGCTTCCTCTCATCAAACTTCTCCCTCTCTGGTAGATGCTCTATTCAAATGACTTTCCATTCTCCCTGCCACTGGCTACCCACATCTCAGCCTTGAAGCCATAGCATCCTTTTCCATTCTCCACAGGCATTAGAAGCAGTGGTAAAGACTCTTTCACGAGTGCTGTCCTCCACAGAGAACTGTGACAGCCCTCCCTTCCAGTTCCAGGGAACAGCCCACACCCTGGCTTCTAGAGTTGGAGGATAATTCTTCCTAGAGGAGAATATGGTAGATGCACTGACCCTGTGTGTCATCTCCTTTTTCTTACTGCAGTCGTAGGTATTTGAATTCTTGGTATTAGGTTAATTCGTATGATTTGTCCTTTTTAAGTGAAAATAAAACATTAAAATACCAGCACTAGTATATGATTTCAAACAGCAGGATCAGAGACTGGCTTGTTTCAGGTCTGCCAGCCTCGTGTGTGAGTGCAAACTGATCTGATACCACTTAACTCCCTTGAATCCAAGAGTCTTTGTTTCACCCTGCTTTCCATTTCTCCCATATTTCTCCCTTTTATTTTTCCTCTCTTCCAACTTCTGTTTGAAATGGAGGTGTTACAAACAACTGTCTCAAGGGACTGGGGCCTTCCTCTGCCCATCTCATATGAGGCCCCGATGAACACTGTACCCCTTTGGGGTTCAGGATAGAGTGAAAAGAAAAACAGATACAGTATCAACAGATCAATAGGATGCAGATACGGTATTGACAGATCAATAGGATGCCTTATGGCCTCCAGTGATTCTCTCCTAGGGGAGGCTAAAATGAAAAAGGAAAACAAAATATGAACATCAAAAAAGTTGTGACTCTGCAAAGTAAATACACTTTAAGACATCGTCTCCTTGATTAAGGCTAAGCACGTATGCAGACAGAAAATACGAAGTTTCAGTGTGACAGTTACTGCACACCTCTGTCATTCTTCATGAATCACTAGAAACACAGTTCTTAACATGGCTTGAAAGAAAGGAATGAATGCCCCCTCAGACTCCATCAGGGAAGATTCTGTGGGCAGCGGATGGCAGTTAACACACAACCTGTCAGAGTGCAGGGAGTGTCTGCAGAGGGCTCAGTCACTGGGACAATTATATCTTAACTCTGTACCCCCAAAGTTCCAGAACCCTCTCAGATTAAGAGATAGACTAGTGGTTCTCAACCTTCCTAATGCTGCCACCCTTTAACACAGCTCCTCATGATGTGGTGACCCTCAACCATACAATTATTTTTGTTGCTACTTCATAATTGTAATTTTGCTGCTGTTATAAATCATAATATAAATATCTGATATGCAGGATATCTGATATGGGGCCCTCGTAAAACAGTTATTTGACCCCCAAAGGGGTCACAGCACACAGGTTGAGAAACACTGAGGTAGATAGATTATAAGAGCCAGACATCAGGGAGGACTAGAGGGCAACAGTGTCTTCTAGATGTGACGGGGACGCTGTCCTCGTGAGCTCACAGCAGCTGCTGTTGCCAGCACAAGACCAAGCCAGCCAACATTTCAGCAGAGTGGGAGGGGCTCATGAGGCCTCCCCCCTAGCTGAGGAAATATTGACAGCTGGTGCTTTTGGAAGAGAGGGAGTCCGTTTTCTAAGAGTGTGGGCCCTGGTAGATCAGCCATACTCCAGTGGATGGCCACAGACCCGTGAATACATAGGCAGCATAGATTGGACACCATGGGCTTATTTTAAAAAAAACAAAACACCATGGGAGCAGTTGTAATGAGGAATAGTGGGTAAACATGGTCGAAAGACATTGTATATGTGTATGAAATTCTCAAAGAATTAATACAAATATTTAAGAGATAATTCTGGTTCACAATATTTAAGTAAACCTTTGGGAAATGAAATTCATTTATACTGTCTGTTCAATAAAAGAATGTGTCCTTGACTTACATGAAAAAGAGATGATATTGTATGTATACATGACTTGTTTCAGATGAACTGCAGCAGGGGGGTGTCCTTTCCCACAAGACTCCTGATTCACAACTCCCTTTTAAGTCAAATTCCTGAAACCTGAGTGAGTATCAGGAGTTCACTGTCTGGGTCTTTTCAGATCTACAGTTAATTCTCCCTGAAGGAGTTGGGTCATTTCCAATCAGTTTGCCTTGGATTAAGCAAAGCATGGCAATAAAACATTCTAGGCAGATTGTTGTCATCATTGGCCAAATGGTCACAGTGTCCCTGATTCAACCTTGTCCTAATCCGTGCTCGCTGTCCCTCATGCCACGCACATGGGAAAGCTCTGCCCTTTCCCATCCATTCTTCCTGGGAAACAGCCAAACATCCTTTCATAATCAATGTCTGTGTATCCAGAGACCCCTGGCCACCAGCCAAACACTTATTGGTCATTGAACACCTTGCATGAGGTAATTTTCAATTATCTTATTAAACTGGGTTGGGGATCTGGTCCTGTTTCCTTTGATTATAAATGTAACTCGTGTTCTTACTGCCGATAATAGCAGTGCTTGTGGGTGCCAGTTTTCTGGGCTCTCTCTCATAGGAAATGCCATCCTCTGCCCTTTGTGAAGGGAGGCACAAGGAACAAAGAGCTGAGAATGAGTAGTAAGTCTAATTTGGAGGAGCAGGACCAGGGACCAAGGATGGCATGTGACTGAATGTGGTGTTTATTTCTGATAGCATGGTATCAGAATAATCTGATAAAATGTGTAGACTTCTGTGATGGACTCAGCAGGAGAAAAGTAGAACGTGTGGAATATCTTGAGGGAAAAGAGCAATTATTTTGCTGATACACGGCTTTAGATCGGACACAGTTGCTTAAAGCGGTGTCAGAACAGGAAATTAAGGAAGCTTCTACATTTTCTTGCTGGTGAAAGTCACTCTAATGCTGCCTGTGTTTTAGTTAAATATTTGATTTGATTCCAAGTCATTTAAAGAGTAGGGTTCATGGTATCATTTACAGGTGGAACTTCAAAAATAGAAGCATGGAACTCCAAGGTTTGTGGCTTCATGCGGTGACGTGGGCTGCAGTATCTGGCAGAGGTGGGCACCGTAATCGAGATAGCACTGCTTCCAATGCCCATGCTTACAGAATTGTTTTCCTCTTCCAGTGGCATCGTTAATGCAACAGCACCCAAAATCAAAAGGGAGAAATATGATAACAATTTTTAAAATACATACACAGGAGAGAGGGGGATTCTGGGGTTTGTTTCATTTTAACTTGGAAATTTAATGGTCATTGCTATATTTTTTTATCATTTGAAAATAAAATGACAAATTGCTAGTTTTTTCTCTATGACTTCTTAGTTTTGAGCCAATCACTAGTTTAATAAAAATTAAAAAAAGATACATGATGTAATTAAATATTTCCTTTGTGTATGTCTTTTGAATGTGGGAAAGTGGGGTTTATTCAATTCCCAGACTTAATTTGCGAGTGGGAAGTATATAGCGAAAGTTCACGGTGAGTACATAATAAAAGTTCACTTTCATTAACTATGATTCTAGAATATTCTGACTTTGGGGCCTTTATGCTTCATCCCAACTAAATACTGACCAAAGGGCTAAGAAACTCAACATTTATAGCCTATCAGAATCTGGAATTTCATTTTTTTCTCAGTATTTTTTTTCCCTGCCCACTTAACACAAATTAGAATTACCTGGGAAGAAAAACCTCAATCTAGAAAATGTTTCCATCCAGATGGCCTGTGGGCAAGCCTGTGGGGCGTTTTCTTGATTAATGATTGATGTGGGCAGGTCCAGCCCATGGGGGGCAGTGCCAATCCTGAGCAGGTGGTCCTGGGGTAGATGAGAAAGCAGACGGAGCAAACCGTGAGGGGCAAGCCAGAAAACAGTGATCCTCTGTGGCCTCTACTTCAGCGGTCTGCCTGGAGGTCCTGCCTAGACTTCCTCAGTGATGGAGCATCACCTGAGAGTTATAAGATGAAATAAGCCCTTACTTGCCCAAGTTGCCTTTGGCCATTGTGTTTTAGCACAGCAATATAAACCCTAAGACATCATTGTTCCTTCTTTTCTGTGAATTGTTTCCCCAGATCTAGCAGAACAAGATACTAAAAGGTAACAAAGGTAACAGAGAGAGAGAGAGAGAGAGAGAGAGAGAGAGAGAGAGAGAGAGAGAGAGAGAAGAGAGAAGAGAAGAGAATATCACTGCTAAAACATTAGATATATTTGATGTTTTTCGAGAACCAGATGTGTTAACTGAATCATCAAATTGTAATTGATTGGGTTATTTTATTGCCCTCTTTGTAACTCCAACATTGGCAGCTCCAGGTTGAGCTGGTATTTTTTCAAAATTGCTGCATAAATAAAATCAATTTATAAATATTTATAAACTTATTTCATTAATCCTTTTCTGGTTTGGTGTCATGAAGCTGCATAAGTCTAAGGAATTAAAAATAATAAATAAAAGAAACTCTTGAGAGAGTCTGTCCGTGGTACTAAAACTTCCCAAGTGTGACTGCGCTCATGCCGATTCACTGCCTGTACTTCGACCGTACTGTTAACGTTTCACACATCAACTGTGCTGCATTTAATGTGTTTAAGTTATTAATGCTACTCTTCACTTTTGATACCATCCATCTTTTCTGTATCTACCAGTCTCTTGGGGTATTAGTCCTCACACAATGACTCTTCTACTCCTAAATTGTCCGTGTCTTCTTTCCTTCCTTCCTTCCTTCCTTCCTTCCTTCCTTCCTTCCTTCCTTCCTTCCTTCCTTCCTTCCTTCCTTCCTTCCTTCCAATGCTACTAGTTTAACCCACATTCCTTGGATTAATAACCAACATTCTGCCATTTATTTTTATTCAGTCCCTTTGTTTATAGAAAACATTAATTCTCATTGCAGTCCAGACTCCTTTTTGTAGGTTTCAAGTCATGGCAAAGATTACCATACCTCCCTTTTGGCCTTGGGATAGTCTTTTCATCTCATTTCTGCTCTGGTCTGCTCTGGTCCGTGTTCCTGGGTCCTGTGTAGATTTCAGTGACACAGCCTTTGGAGTGCAAACTTAGTAGCAGTGCTCGGTTAGTACCCCCTGCCACGCAGAGTGCCGGCTTGGACGAGAGAGTCAAGTTCCAATTGAGGTTGTAGCTCAGAATCTCTCACCTGGGGAGGTTTGCCTTCTAGGGCACCTTGGCCATATCCAGAGACATTCTGCTTGTCATGACAGGTGAGTTGCTTCTAGGATCTGGTGGGTAGAAAGCAGGTATGCTGGAAACTAAACAGCGAGGCACCTCAAGACCTTTACTCTGCTGCTTTGCAAGTTTGTAATAATAGAAACATATCCTAGAATTTCTTTCACCAATAATTGTAATATATTTTTTAAAAAATGACTTGACAAAGTCTCTGGAATCCTTTTATTAGATATGAAATGTTCAGTCAAATTGATACATTATGGTTACTTATCTAGGTCTCCTCTCATTTTAAAGTTAACTTGAATTTTTTTTTTTTTACAAAAAGTGATGTCAAGTGGCATCTTTTGTTATGCAAATTTTTGTTTTGATCTACAGTATTTCTTTTTAAGTCACTTCTCAGGAATAAGCCAAATGATAGATGTTTTATTGCTAATTATATGTAGTATCAAGTTATCTCTGTTATTTGCCTGTTTCAGTGACCTGTATCTTGAGAAACCACTATGCTGAACTTGAAAGAGTCATAGACACAGGTCCACATGGCATGTCTGCTTCTCATTGGCTACATGGCCTTTGCCCATCTGATTTTATGTTTTTAACCTGTGGGATACGCATAACAAGCCCATATCAAAGAATTGTGGGCATTAAACCAGATAGTTTCTTTGATAGGTACTTATGAACTGTCACATTGCCAGTGTTCAATATGTATCTATTCAAAGCCTAGCCCATGTTAGAACCAGTGCTGAGAGCTAGAACTACAGGGAGACTGCATTCTACTGCCTTATTAGAACAGTTCACTTATAAGCAGAGGGACTTCCTTTTTAATTACAAGGGTTTAAAAACAAAGGTTGTCCCTAGAACAGGAAACACACTATGAAAATGCTTAGTGAGATCTTGTTAGATTCCTTGGATGACACTGTACAGTCAGTTTATCTGGCACCCCATTCACAAATCACACCTCCTCCCTGGGATGATTCCCTTTATTGTTTCTTTACATTTCTCTCTCTCTCTCTCTCTCTCTCTCTCTCTCTCTCTCTCTCTCTCTCTCTCTCTCTCTTTCTCTCTCTCTCTCTCTCTCTGTGTCTCATATTAGGATATGACTTTGCTTATTGCTGTTTTACTCAATGTGAGTTTTTGTGACTTATTCTTTTCACCCCTTTCTCTGAGACAATTCAAACCTTTTTTACTTTTAATTCCACCTTCTGTGGATGTCATTCCTTCATCCTTCTCTGAGCCACAGGCCCTGGAATCTGCATGAGGCCATGGCCCTGCTTGTGTCTTCCTTGTGTGACTCCTGTCCTGGCAGCCGTGCCTCCGAGTGACTGGGAGTGTTTGGGAACTCCGGCATCCTTAGATCTATCTTTTGGAGATGGATATTGATTTTCTTGCCTTTGAATGTAAAGGCCCAGAGTGAGCCCTTTCGCCCGTCATCTCTGTGCGTGCTGGGCATCAGAAGCTGAAGGTAGGGGAGTCACCACAGGGAAATCCATCAAACCAATGCTGCTGGTGTGAGCAGGCCATGCAGCAGCAGGCTTTCTGTGTATGGACTGGACCACAGGTGGGGATCGTTTGTGTGTACAGACTTGGTTTCTTTTTAAAGTCGCCACTTTGTATTTTCCCCTGAAAAGACTTCACACTGAACGCAGGATATCCTTTCTGCGTGATCCAATTTCTGCCTTCAGCTACTTGACTGACCTAATCAAAGCAAAGATTTTTTTTGGTATTTTGGAGAAAAATTCCTTTCTTCCCAGGTGGAGTTCTGGAATAAAGCCTACCACATCCCAGCCACTTACCTGTAATTGTTGTTAAAATGTACTTGGCAATGCCTAGCTCCTATTTCTTTTAGCCCATGAGTGAGAACCAAACTTTCTCTTTGGAAGGTTATTCTTCTCCCTTCATCTTCAAAGGAAATAATGTCTCCTTAGTTAGGGACCATACAGTGTGACTATTGCAGTACTTTAGTCACTATAGAGACAGAGAAGCCAATCCATTGCACATAGACAGCCATATAGATAGGAAGAAGCTGTGATTATATACATGACCCTCCCACTGCCAGCCCCGCCCACCGTCAGCTCCTCCCACTGCCGACTCCTCTCAGCCCCTCCCACTGTCAGCCCCTCTCACCGACAGCCCCTCCCACCATCTCTTAAATTGAGCATTGAACTTTCACTCTCCCTCTATTCTGAGTCAGCAAAAACAAAAAGAAGCAATTTTTTCCCTTAATTTAGTTTGCATTTTTGTATAACATTAAAACATAGTCATCCTGTGAGGTATAGTGAAGGAACACCAGTTAGTAGACCCTTCAGTTACAGGATGAGATGAATGGATTAACAGCAACAAGAGGCAAAATTCAACCACTGTTTGGAAGCCTTTTAAGCTCTTATACAGTGTTCTTACTTCATCACTACTTCATCTTTATCCATGGCTGACCCCCCACTTCTTCAAATCTAAGAAATCTTTGAGCATGTGATTTCTTACTGAACATCTCTTTAATTTCTTTTTTTATGAATTTAATTATTGGTTTTGGCGAGTGTTACCACAAGTATTACTCACTTGGCAAGCTTCCCCCTTAGGAAAAGCTGCAGAGCATTGAGGAAGGGTTTGAGGGCAGGAGGATAAATCTGGTGGTGGACAGAAGGAAGCTTTGGTTCTAACTCTGTCTCCTCCTTGTGAGTTGTTGGTTCGAAAACAAAAACCAGGAGTAAACTTTAAAGAATGAAGTCAGTGTGTGGTTGCAATTAGGACCTGAAAGCTGTAGAACTCTAGAGCAAACATAGATAAGCAATTCTGAATGGCAGTATTCATTTCTCCTCTTCCCCATTCTCCAGTCTCTAAGCCACATCCCAGAAGTGCTCCTTTACTTACAAAGTTCAAGTCCAGCGCCCTGGGTTCTCCAAAGAAATGTGAAATACTCAAATTTCATGGACAAACCTATTTTGTAGCCAAGATGCATGCACAAGACCATACTTAACAGCCGTATGTATATGGTTCACACTCCATGCAGGACCTGAAGAGTTGTATTTAAAGGCGTGCACATTGCTTCCTGTAACCTGCTAAAGAGGGCTTATCTGTCTTTTCTGTCTGTTATTGGAAGTATTCTCATTCTCAACTTGTTCCCTGTGAGTAGATTTTATCCTCACTGTCCAGACCCCTTTACATTTTCCCATGGCATAGCCGGGGGAAGAAGGAGGAATGTTCTGAAGGTCATTTCCTCTTGGTATTTAGTGAGAATAAAACTTCATTTCCTTTCTGTTGTTCTTGGATTGGACAATCTGTGTAGCCTTTCAGCTTAGTCGCATGCTGGATTTCAGCAAACCTTTGGTTGATTTCATGTCCTCTCTAATTTTCTTTAAGACCAAATCTTACTTTCTTCTAAGTAAACCTCAAAGTTTATTTTACCTTCCTGGAGATTTTTTCTCATATTATTAAAATCCTACTCTATGTTAAACATGTGCTTCAATCTTCTTCCAGTAGTATTCTATATGTAAATTGTCCTGTATGTTAATAGCATGTGCCACAGAAAACCATGATGTATTTAAAGGCATAGACAACAGCATCTTGGTCAGATTGGAATCCTTGTATTAAAAACCTCTCTCTCCCTCCCTCCTCTTCCCCATCTCTCTCGATGGCTGCTCCCTCCATCCGCCTCTGTCTCTGTCTCTCTCTAAATATTGTCTCAGTCATCCACTGTGCCTGTTCAGTAGCATAGATCTTCATGTTTTCCATCCATGGTAGTCACAGTTCTTGCTGTGGAAACCCTGCCTGTTGAGTTCGCTTGATACTGCTTATCTCCTATTTGACGATGAGTTTCTCTCCTGAAGATTTTATGTTCTTTACATCCTATGGGGTGCTGTTCTGAATTCACCCTATCAAGACTGTTTATCTAATTTGTACTATCTTTCAAATTTTTTATTTGGTTTCCTTCAACACTGATTGTTGCTGTCTATCATGTGAGACTTGCATTAATTGAAATGGTACATGAAGTTGCTCTTTGGGGACTACACAATACCCAGGTTTTTTTTTAGTTCTCTATTTCCATAAAGATTTTAGTATGTATTTGTTCTCAGCTATATGGGAGCACTCCAAAGGACTCTTCTTGTGTTTTTAAATCTAGCTCTGCATATATCAGGCATAGAATAAGTGCTTATGAACCAACTCCATCTTCCCAGGTAGAAAGCATCAGAAGATGGCTTACGCTATTAGCATGTGCAATATAGCTTAAGCATGGTGGTAAATTCCCAGATAATAAAATTGTTTGAAGGTGAGAACGAAGCATTGAAGAACAAGGACTGTATTCCCCAGAGATCAATAAAGGGAAAAATAATTCTAGTCTAGCCTAGCGGACTAGAAGATGTACTGAGATTCTATCTGGCTCTGAGATTTTATTAAAATCCTCAACGATAACACCACTTTCATAAGGTGTTTCTAATAGGAACTTTCTACTTTATATATATTTACTTCTGCTAAAGATAGCGACCCCAAAGTGCTATAAGGAAAATCCAGATTATTTTTATGATGAAGTATAGACTGAGTAATTAAAACAGGAACTTCACATACCTGATAGAGTGTAGCTCTGTAGTTCTGTTTGATAGACTGTGTTCTATTTGCTCTCTGTCTTCAAATATCTGAGGAAAAATAAACTCTAAAAATATCCCATGTCCTGCCTTGCAAATGACAGTAATTCTCTCAGAGATGAGGCTTTCGGTTCCTACTCCACCGCAAGAATTAACTTTCTCATTTTATGGATATGAGAAAAGCCAAAAAGCGAATGCAAGTGTCTCTTCCCACAACCCCTGCCTGCCTGCCTGGTGGACCTCAGGATTTGTGCATACTTGCATATTTCTGGTGAGTTTAATTTTTTCCTTTCTACTTCATTTATTTCTGGTTGTTTTAATATCATTTCCAATTACAGAAATGGAATTTCTAGGGAGAAAAAAGATTTTTTTTTAACTGCCGATGAGATGAGACTCAGTGGCTTTGCTTTCCTGGATAGCTGTTAGTTTTCAATGACTCATATTAGGGAAATGATGTTAAAAGTCGATACTTCAGAGTTCAGTACAAGTATATACCAAGATGATATAATTAAGAATTCTATCCAGTCCTACTGATATATGCAGATTTTATAAATAATACAGTAGAATGTTAAGTTTCTTTTACCTCACCTCATACTATAGACGTTTGGCCCTGGAAACTAGAAATATGAAATACACATTTCTAGATAATCTTCAAAACTAACTTACTTACGAATTATCATTTTGAGTTATCAATGACCATTAAAAATTCTTTGGTGATAGGAATTGTCCCCTTAATTATAAAGAAGTAACAAAAGCAAAATTGTCCTCTCAATATACCTGCAGTGTGCTTAGTCTGATCTAACCTGGTTGCTCACCTGATTGATTATCTTAGCATGTGGTTTTAGCGTGACACAGGGTATGCCTAGGGTGAATTTGCTGTTCATCCCTGCGACGTTACTTTCAATGAGGGAAAATCAGTTCTCAGTTCTAAAATGAAATACCCTGTTGAATTGTTCAAAGGAAAATGTGTTCTTAGATATGCATTCTTAAATCTTTCCAATTATTCCAAGAACTGAATGTGAAAAGCCTCTCGTTTTGAACTGTGTTGCCCCATTTGACACAACCTCTCTGCCTTCCAAAGTGCCACCAGCTAGCTGATGTGATCACCATCTAAAATACCATCTACCTTATTCCGGCCAATGGGTGTTAGTTACAAAACAGTATGTGTGTGTCTTTCTGAAAAAGAAGAAGAAGAAGAAGAAGAAGAAGAAGAAGAAGAAGAAGAAGAAGAAGAAGAAGAAGAAGAAATAGTGTAGATATGTAGAGATTTGACTGAACTAAAGAGGAAGAAACAAAGAAGTACTCAGAAATAACTATTCTTTATATTTGATAAAAACACATTTCTGACAAAAAAATCAAAACTCCTTCTAGTTTCTATTAATAGAGGACCCCCATGTGCCTTTAGTGGAACAGCTGTCTTCCTAAAGGTTTTGGTTCTCTGAATATAAACATATCTTACTAATGCTTAGAGTTTGCAAGGACACATTTTATTAAATATTAAATGTTCAATCAACAGAATCATTTTTCCCCCATAAATCCACACATAAAAATTTAGGGGACTCAATATTTGCCCACCACAAGCTTATGACTGTCAAGAGCTTACCCTACCAATGGCCTACCTCACTTTCTTGCTGGGGCCTCGCATAACCAGGAAAGTAAAACCCGAATGAATCTCCCAGGGAAATGGCTGAAAAACAGTGAGTTTATAAGCAAACAAAAGGAAAAAGGAGCAGAGGCAGAACAGATCTCCCCAGGATACCCCACTCTCAATGAATCCAGAGTGCTCCTGAAAGAATGAAAACAGACAACATGGAAGCCTCGGAGACTGGCTGCCACTGGCGGGAGGCAGTCTTCATACCAAGCTAGTGAATTTCCACAGAGATACTTCCCAAGGCACTGAAAATAAACCAATGTTTGTTTTCAAGGGGCAGTCAAATATTCCTTTGCAAACATTTCCATAGACTCTGCTTCCCCTCCCCTGCATTCCTTTCTGTGAAAATATTTGTATTTCTCTATTGATACGTTTTTTAAGAGAATATGTTAATATGGTTGCTGCTTGTGTTCCTATTTGGTTTCTCCACATTTTAAAATTTTTCATTTCTTTTTTTAGGGGGTACAGATGGGAGAAATGCTTATGGAGAATCCTTTTGGAGTTGAATCACTTGCATTTGAATATTTCCTTGATCATTGATCTTCTGTGCAGGACCCCATTTATCACTTTAGACAGCCCTGCTCTTGGTTCTGTTTCTTAATATGTTACCAGGGGCTTGTCCTACTATATGCAAATCAGTTATTTTAGCATAAACTCTGCTTTGCTCACATGTTATTGGTTATTTTATCACCATCTACTCTGGACCACGTGCTATGGATTATAAGAAAGACAGAAAATCTCACCAGCCACAAAGCACTGACAGTCTGGGTGGAAAGGCAGGTCACATACACACAAAATAATTAGTAATGCAATGTTCTATTAAGCAGCGTCTTAGGTTGACCTTGGAAGGCACCACGACCTGCATTATGTGAAGTTGAGATGGGACTCCAATTGTCTGATAATGACAGAAAAAGAAAAGACTTCAAGAAGAAGCTCTGTGGGACTGACTCCTCTAGAAGGGACCTGAAGGTAGATTAAGGCTAGTTTGAGTAAAGAGACAGAGTGGTTCATAAGGACCAAGGTCAAATGAATAACCAAGGTTGTCACACGTTACTACTACAACACCCCTATCTTGTCCCTATATGTCTGAAAGCTATGTACGTCTTCTGGAAAACATAGACTGTTCATACAGGCTTTTGTAGGTGATGAGTCAGAAAGCCAAAGGAAGCTGACCTCTTAGAAATATATGTATGTATTTCTTCATATGATGCTACTGATGTAATCCCTTGTTTCCCTGTATCTGTGGAAGCTGTTTCTTTAAAGGTAGTTTTTTGGGGTTTTTTTTTTTTCTCAAAGCTTTTGCTGTAAAAAAATCATTGTTTGGTGACCAGAACTGAGACTTGAGGAGAAGATAATCTTTACAGATAGGAAAATAAAAAGATAAAGATAATGTATTTTCAGGGAGAAAATCTACTTTCTGAGTAATTAAAATGATATTGTCTGATAGGGAGCTGAGTGTAACAATTTCCGAGTCTCATGATAATCTGATTTGTCTTATTTTACTGATGGAAAGGGGAAATAAAGTGAACTCTTGGCTCAAGTGCTAAGTCTTCAAAGGTGAAAACTCCTGAATGGGCGGCAGTGAGTCAGTCTGGAGGAGCCACTGACATCCGGCTTCTGGAGAGGGTGCTCAGGGATGCTTATGGACGGTGGAATTTCAATTTACTTTTTTGAACACTGAAATCTTGACTTTGAAAAGCAAGGTATTTGTCAACATTATCTGAAGGGCCAGACGACAGGCAAATGCTTCAGCACACGTGTTTTCTTGCATTAAAGCAAAGCTGACATGTTGAAAAGATGGTCTTCAAAGATATTCAGAGGCTGGTAAGCTTTTGTCAATAATTAGCCCTCACTTTGCTTTAAAGACAGGGCAGTCGTTTTTTTTGTTGTTTTTTTTTTTCTCACATTTGCCAGGAGTGGATTTTCACTTTCAAATTTCCTCATTCTGGGTACTTGCATGTGAGTATTCCAAACCTCCTCGTCCTCAGCCACCATGTGTAGCATTCATTGCATTTATGCATTCAACTTCTTCCTCAAGTGACGCTATTTTTTTCTGCCTCAGCCTGACAGCCACTAATAATAACACATGAGGACAGTCAGACAAAATGAAGACAAATGCTGCTTGTCGCAGCAGAATCATAATGTCCTCGGACTCAGTAAAGACAGTCTAACTGTATGTGGATGCTCTTTATAGCTTATTTAGACCTGCGGTTTTTCCCTGTGGCTTTTTTTAAAGCACAAACATTGTGTAGAAATACATTAAGGCAACATATGGGCCTGTTAGTTAGCCAAAACAATGTGGAACCATGGAGAATAGAGATTGGAAGCACAGATGGATACTGTAAAAAATTCATGAGTGGCATAACAGATCTAAAAGGTAAATTTTAGTCAAAATTCAAGAGGAAAGCGTAGTAAATACTTAAGAATTTGGCTTTATGGGTTTTTTTTCAAATCACACAAGATGAAACATTGTGAACATTCCTCAGATTTGTTTATGCCATAATGCGAAAATCAGAGCTCATCATTCAACAATAATTATGTCTATATAGATTCATGCCATCAGAAGAAGATTGCTGATAAACAATAGTGCTTCGCTTCCATTTGATGTAAACGCTGCAGTATTAAATATCCATATTATTTCCAGCTCAATATTAGAAAGTGTCAGTCATTGTGACAAGTCAGGCATGAGGAGCTCATTGGGCCGTCCTCTGTGTGGCCGAGTGCTGTCGAATAACCAGGTTTTCATGCTGTATTACTTTGTTGCTCAAATTGAGTTCTAAGCGGTAAATTGGCACATCATCCCCCCCCCTTTTACATTTGGTTGTCCTAACCAAACCCGAAGCCTCGAGGAGACGTTGGATTCGTATGGGCACACAATCAGGCCGCACCAGCAGCCTTCAGAACACTCGCCATGTCCTGTCTCTGCAGCTCGTCGTGGTGGTCTCAGGAAAAACATTATGTTCCAACGACCTTAGAGCAACCCACTAAGCATGCGCTTTCTGGACCCCCTTAGCCAGTCTCTTTCAGAAAATTTCCTCAGGAGCCACTTCTGAACAAAGGGATTTTGCCTTTGTGGAACAAGTTGGTTTCCAGTGGAGGGAAGTGGGCAAGAACATGGAAAGGCAAGGTGATACATCTGTATGTCTCAGTTTCTAATTATCTTCGGGTAGCTTGTGAACAGAGGCCACCATTCTCAAGACCACTCACTCTAAACAGCAGTTTTCTGGTGAAATGATTTGGGTGTCAAGTTGAGCATGATGCTGTGTGGATTTTGGATACTTTGTTCTGTCATTAGAAAGACAAAACAAAGAGCACACTTTCCCTGGTATAAATGTTTAGGTCGTAATTGTGATGAGCTGATAGAAACTATAAAATCATAGACATCAGGCAGGTCAGTTGTATTGAGTTGAATTTTCTTTTACAATGAACAACACTGTTTGTGAAGAACTTCACATTCTTTGAAAAGACACTAGCACATTATTTAAGCAGCCAGAAAATTATTTGGCATTAAGAGAAAGGGGGGTTGGGGATTTAGCTCAGTGGTAGAGTGCTTGCCTAGCAAGCGCAAGGCCCTGGGTTCGATCCTCAGCTCAAAAAAAAAGTCAAGAGAAAGGGGGTGAGATTGGAGATGATCACTTTCACAGAAAGTAGGTGGGAGTTTTAACTATTTTAGTTGGTTTTTTTCCTACAGATAATATAAAATGGGGATGGGTTTTTGTAGTGAACTTTTCCCTTTGGATACTAACGCCACCATTAGGACCTCGAGACAGCAAATTGAACTTTCTGGTGGTTGTCCTAATCAGTTTTTCAGACAGTGTGGAGTGTCCTTAGTGAATGAAAGTTTGCATTCGTGAGCTCCCTGAGCAGCCGGGCCAAGACTAATTCTCAGCTCTGTATGCCACTTCACACATTTGTCAGTTCTCAGTACGTGTTATATGATAACATTTTGAGATCCTCATCTGAGAGTTGATGGGGAAATATCAAATAGCATGTCCAAGGTTTGCCAACTAACTGAGTCCAATTCTAGACTATGCTGTAGACGATGGTAAAGACAACAGTCTTTTGTCTCCTTTAGAGAAAAAATAAATTCATTTCCAAAATTGAACAGAGATTTAAGAAGGACTATAAGCAAAGGGAGAGGGTCAGGGAGAAAGACAGAAAAATAAGAAAAAAATTCATGTATAAAGAAAGGATTCTTTATCCTTCATACCACAAAATGCATTTTTTATTAAGATTCCTCTTTGGTCTATGTCAGATTTGGAAATATATATATAAATAGCTACACTGTTTATTGTTGATACCCAGAAACATATATGTATATGTGGTATGTTTAAGGCAAAATTGAGGGGAGGCACATGTACTTTAAATTCAGCAACATATTTTGAAAACCTACTATGTGCCAGGCATAGAGATCCAGTGGGTATGAGCAAAGAGTCTTTCTAAAAGAGAAAAGCAGACTTCAAACAAGTAATTGCAGATGTGATTAGTAAGTGTTAAGAGTAAGGTGTTGAGGAAGTTTATAGTAAAGTAGATTACTGTAGGCCAAAAACACAGCAAAGAGGATGGCAGGCTTGTGAACTGTGAGTTCTCTCCCTTCTGAAATCTAAGGCGTTCTCACAGACATTCAGGGTATAGCAAAGGTCACTAGGGGGCAAGGTAAGTTGGAGATTTGTGGTATATAAATTAACTAGATTGTGAGTACTAAAATATACTAAGATACGAGGAAGTGGTTCTTATACCTATAGCAGAGTTAGAGCAACTACAAATGTAACACTTTATTTTTTTATTAATTAAAATTTTTTATTTATTTTACATCCCAACTGCAGTATTCCCCTCCCTCCTCTCCTTCCACTCCTTCCTCATCTCCACTCTGCTGCCCCAGATCCACTTTTCCTCTGTCTCTCTTCAGAAAGGGGCATGCCTCCCATGGGTGTCAGCAAAGCATGGCATATCAAATTAGGGGACTAAGCTCCTCTCCTTGTGTTAAGGCTGGGAGAGGCAACCCAGTGTGGGGAATAGGTTCCCAAAAGCCAGCTCAAGTGTTAGGGACAGGCCCTGATCCCACTACTAGGAGTCCCACAAATAGACCAAGATACACAACTGTCACATATATGTGGAGGGCCTGAGTCTGTCCCATGCAGGCTCCCTAACTGTAGTCCAGAGTCGGTGAGCTCCTATGAGCCCAGGTTAGTTGTTTCTGTGGGTTCCCTTGTGATAAACGCCCCCCCACCACTCATACAATTCTTCCTCCCTCTCAACAAGATGCTGGAAGCTCAGTCCAGTGCTCAGCTGTGGATCTCTGCGTTTGTTTCCATCAGTGACTGGATGTAGGTTCTATGATGACAATTAAGATAGTGACCAATCTGATTATAAGAGAAGGCCAGTTCAGGCACCCTCTCCACTATTGCTAGGAGTCTTATCTGGGGTCACCTTTGTGGATTCCTGGGAGTTTCCCTGGTACCAGGTTTCTCTCTCACCCCAAAATACCCTACCATCAAGACATCTCTTCCATTATTCTCCCCCTTCATTCTACCCGCAACCCACCCAACCCAATCCTTCATGTTCTGTGAGGGGCCATCCCACCCCGACGTTTCCCCAGAGTACTCTTGAGTAAAAGCAGCAGGAAATATTAGATAGAAGGATAGAGGGGAGAGAAAAAGGTAGAAAATACAGGATAGCCTCAGGAGGACCTGGATCCTAATCCATCAGGTCCTGACTGTCTCTGCCCTAGAGTTTTTAAAGGAATTCCAAGGGGTGGAGCAAAAGACTCCCTGCCCCCAGCACAGCCAAGTGCAGACCATCTCAGACACCTGGCACTCAGGCCCCGTGGTCCAGTCATCCTCTTTATGCAGACAGACCTGCTGGGTAAAGCTACTGGGAAACCCAAATGGGCTCCAACAACGTTCCCATCCTCCACCCCCACCCCCAGTTTACCCAGGAGATCTCTTCTATTTCCCTTTCCCAGGGAAATCCATATGTTCCTCTTTGGGCCCTCCTTGTTATGTAGGTTCTTTGGGACTGTGGATTGTAGCCTGGTTATCCTTTACTTTACAGCTAATATCCACTTATGAGTGAGTACATACTGTGTTTGTCTTTCTGGGTCTAGGTTACCTCACTCAGGATGATTTTTTTTCTAGTTCCATCCATTTGCTTGCAAATTTCTTGATGTCATTGTTTTTTACAGCTGAGTAATACTCCATTGTGTAAATGTATCACATTTTCTTTATCCCTTCTTTGGTTTAGGGACATCTAGGTTGTTTCTAGGTTTGGCCTATTATAAATAACACTGCTATGAACATAGTTGAGCAAGTGTTCTTGTGGTATGATTGAGCATCCTTCGGATATATGCACAAGAGTGGTGTAGCTGGGTCTTGAGGTAGATTGATCCCCAATTTTCTGAGAAAATGCCATATCGATTTCCATAGTATCTGTACAAGTTTGCAGTGGAGGAGTGTTCCCCTTACTCCACATCCTCTCCAACATAAATTGTCATTAGTGTTTTTGATCTTAGCCATTCTGACAGGGTAACACCTTATTTTATAGAAACTACAATAGTAGGCTTTCAAGTTGCTATCACAGCAATGGTGTACTTGATATGGAAATACTGATCATGGTGACTTGATTGTTACATATCATATACATGTGTTTATTACAGTCTTATAACCCATAAATATATGACAATGTTAAGCATCTATTAAAAATTTTAAAGGAAGTCATGATACATTGATAGGAAGAGTGAATTAAAAGAAATTAACATCCCATTTTCTATAATTGAGCATTCAATACTATTGACCACAAGTCAATTGTATGTCTCAATTCACAATCCTGGTAAGCAAAACTGAATAATAAGTATAGTTCTCAAGAAGGAGGCAAAACTATGACTCCGTTATCATGCGTGAAAACAAAATTGTAACTCTAGCAAGTTCTCCAGGAGGCGGCAAGAGGCATGACACCCATCAGCAGTGGGCCCCGCCTTGTTTAGAAGTTTCCTTCAGACGTGATACTTGAGTTGAAAGCTAAAGGATAAACAATAACTCAAAAAAGAGCCGAGCATACTAAAGAAAGAAACCAGCAAGAGTCAAGACATAACGAAAGGACAAAAACGTTACAATGAAGTATTTAAAAGAAAGCAGAGCTGGTTTTAGCCGAAGGGAAAAGGGCTAACATTGTGACTGAGAGGAAGCACTCAGAGAGAGCCGGGAGGGCTGGGGTCAGACTCTACACTAACAGTGTGTGGTGGAAGGGTTTGGGGCAGAGGGTGGCCGATCAACTGTGGCCAGTTGAACTCCACTCAGAGGATGTACTAAATGGCTGCAAGCGTGACAGTCAGGACTTGTGGGAGAGACTTCCCATAACCTAGTCAATGCATGGTAGTTCCAGTGAGCCTTAAATGGAGGAGAAGTTCATAGTGGTGGGAGTAGTGAACTCATCTTACTCCATGTTTGTTCTGATGTGTCGAGTGGAGCAGAAAGCAGTTAAGACACAGACCTGGGGCTCACAGCCAAGGTTAGTAAGGGAC